CCACGAAGTCCCCTCCTACAAAGACAAACCCCCTCCTGCTCTCTCCCCCCCCTTTGCTCCATACCTAATCCCTCCCCGTTTCTTATGGCAGCTAAAGCAGGAAAGCTGATGCTGACAGTTGGGCTTTTCTTCCTGAAGCTGACTTGGAAGTGGCCTTTCTGCCCGGGTCAGCAGAATTGGCTTTAGATTGATCTGCCATGGCAAGAACAAAAAAATATCAAGGGAGACAATAGACTTCTGCCCACTGACAGCCAGAAACCAGAACTGATACCCCAGCAGGTCAGAAATGCTGGCAGTGGGGTTCCTTCCGCTGGAAAAGGCAGAGGGAGCAGTGGAATACAGCTGCTCCGGGCCTGGGCAATGGCCGCCGCCAATCGAGATAGCACAAAATGGCCGCTGCACGTGGGAATCAACGGCCGCGATGTAAATTGGCCGTCTCCCAAAACGCTAGAAGGATCGCCAGAAACAGTAAGGGCTCAAGTGAAATCGCCGCAACTAGGTTGGCAAGCGGCTTGAATTACCTGCCGGAATGATGCTAGCCGCTGTGGCGCCTCAGCGCTCGTCAGCTGGGAGTCGGAGCGCAGGCGGTAATGGTGGCGGTAACGGCTGTGGCGCAGCGGCGAAAAAAGTCCTGAATGGCGCTCCAAGCCACCTTTACCTGGGCACCCCTCAGCTGGGAGTCGGGGGCACAGGCAGCGCAATAGGGGCGGCAGCGGCAGCGGTGCAGGTCTGTGGAGCCGCAGGAAAAAGTGCTAATTGCAGTAGCCTCTCAGCTGTGCGGCGGCGGCAGCATTTTCAGCCGAAACTGAAGTGGCCAGCACACTCAGCACAAACTGAAGAAATATATTGTCCATGAGTGGAGTGAGGAGTGAGATGACTCAGAACACGTCTGGTCAGATCCACTGAGTCGAAAAAACTGGAAACAAGGGATGCGTGAGGAGGCATGGCCAATTCAAACAGACTCAGTATCCGGTCAGACCATCTGGATCATCCCACTCCTGATCCACTCCGCAGCCTTCTGGGAGAATGATTAGGTTTTAAGATATCTGATGCTCATTTTAAACTCCTCTTCTTTTCTTTAGCTAGGAAGTCTATGAACATCACCAGCTCTATTATTGTATGCTTTTAGTTAATATATAGTTGCAAAAGTTAGTCATATTTATTAAGCTATATTAAAATGTATGTGACATTGAAAGATACTAATTCCAATATAAAAATCAGGGTACAAGGATATGAAAGGACACCTGGGGACCCAGGTGGATAAGGAGGTATTTCTGGCTCTATATGTATCTTTGACTTATTCACAGACGAAGAGATATAAATAAAAATATACCGTATTTTCTGGCGTATAAGACAACTTTTTAACACATGAAAATCTTCTCAAAAGTCGGGGGTCGTCTTATACGCCGGGTGTTGTTCTCCTGTAACCAGGCAGACCAGCCCGAAAGGCTCTGACGAGCCTTAAATGGCTCTGGCGATCCAAGCTCTGACGATCTGCTAATCAGGCAACGCAGCTGGGGTCGCCAGAGCCATGGAGAAGGAAAAAACTTTTCTCCTTTCACATGGCTCTGGCGATCCAAGCTCTGACAATCTGCTAATCAGGCAACTCAGCTGGGATCGCCAGAGCCATGGAGAAGGAAAAAAGTTTTCCCCCTCCAGCTTGCTTACCTTAGCTGCTTGTCTTGCCTTGCTTCGCTTGCCTGAATCCATTCCATCAGCAAGCAACTCCCTGCCTGCAATCAAGCAGGCAGGGAGTTGTTGATTTCAACTCCCAGAATTCCTCAGCCAGCAAAACAAAGCTGGCTGAGGAATTCTGGGAGTTGAAGTCTACAAGTCTTAAAGTTGCCAAGGTTGGAGACCCCTGTTCTATTGGGTAAGTTTTTTTCCCCTTTGGGATCTTTAAAAAAAATAGTTAATTGGGTTTTTTTTTAGTTGTTCTTTTTTAGACCTAGCCATTTAAAGTTTAGGAAGTTTTAAATTTAGCTTTCATATAAAAATAAAAATAAAATAAAATAAAATAAAATAATATTTGTGCAGCTTTCTGAGATTTAGTGTGTTTCTGTAGTGTTTCACTCTAACTACACAAACCCACAAAATCTCACAAAGCTGTATGTGGAATTTTGTGTGTAAAGTGTGAAAGTTGGGTTTTTGGGCTTTTTGTGGCTGTGTGAGGTTCCTGCTTGTTGCAGGGGCCATTTTGGGTCTAGCACAGCTGCTTTTACATTGTGGGTGAGCCAGTTGTGTTGTGTTGTGTTGTGTGTGTGTAAAGTGTGAAAGTTGTTTTTTGGGGCTTTTTGTGGCTGTGTGAGGTTCCTGCTTGTTGCAGGGGCCATTTTGGGTCTAGCACAGCTGCTTTTACATTGTGGATGAGCCAGTTGATGTTTTTTAATTTTTATTTGGTATGCGTTGGAAGAGGGGTAGTCCTATACGGCGAGTATAGCCCAAACCCTATATTTTAACAGGAAAATTCGGGGGTCGTCTTATATGCCCAGTCATCTTATACGCCGGAAAATACGGTAGATAGAAAGAGTACTAATTTATTGAACATACTGACATCCACTTATGAATATTTTACAGTGCACAAAGACCAAAGCAGCTCTGGTTCCTTCATTTTGGTCTTCCACTAGCAATTGAGCAATGTTATATAAATAGTACTGTATAAATATCACATCTGAATTTCAACTGATTAAATCAGCAGATCAACTAACTAAACGTCTCACAAAGCTATAAATCAAAAGCATACTTATTTTAGAGGCCATTTAGGTTGTGCTACAATGGCAATAAGTTCTTTTGTTAAATACTTAAGAGAAGCAATAGTTCAGTGAATGAAGTAAAGTATTTTAGTCATTCTAGGCAGCTATGGAGTGATATAGTAAATATTAGCAAAAGGTAAAAGTGTTACTACAGTTTATGAATGGGGTAAAACTTACTATTTTTTTACTCTACTATGCTAATCACATCAAGTGGCTTTTTAATACATCTTTGTAACTTTGCCAATTCTTCGCATAGAGATAACTGCATATTATGTTTGCTGATTTTCTCTCAGACAACAGACACAAGAGTGTACATTATAATCAATAGTCATTTGATACAGGGCATCAAATTACCAAGTCTTAATTGTATTATTGCTCCTTGCTAATTAGTCCTTGGGTATTTTAAAATTTGTTGGCTATCTAATTTCACATGCTCTTGGGAGCAGCAAACTGAGAAGCAAACCTAGCATTAATATACAGAAGCAGTTTGTTACAGTTGCTTTTTATTTTTTTTAAAAAAATAGTGTGTCAAAAAGTGTGGGTATTTTTAATTTAAAAAAAAAAAACAGCAATGCTGTGATATGTCCCTCTCTGAGCAAATTTTGGACAGCTGCTCTGGAAAAGAGCAAAAAAATTATTTAATTAGACTGACAATATTACCAGAAGCACTTATGTAACTTACCTTCAATAAAATCACTATATAACCAAATCTGATTGATTACATAGCACTATGAGGCCATTATATCAGTTACCCAATAGTAAATACAACATATGCAACTATGGAAAATATCAAAAGGGGGAAGGAAGAAATTAAACGAAATAATTCACTGGGGAAAAAGTACATCAAACTATTTAAAAGACTGGTTAATTATTTTAGTACTTATCCCTCATTCAAAAATAACATAGACAAAACATGGCATAGCTTTAATAAATGAATATTTTGCAACATTTGGGAAGGTGACACTAATCAGTCAAAGCAATGATTATTTTAAAAACTCCTGTCAAATACATGGTGGATATTTCTTCACTCTTTATTTCATAAAATATCTCTTGGACCCTGAAGCTTTTTTCTTTCTTTCTACAACTCTTTCTTTCTAATTCAGGGTATTGTAAAATGAAGCTGTTAGCCTCTAAGACTAACTGATTAGTTATGCAAGAGTTATATTAAATGGTGTACTTTAAGGCTACTACTGTGATTGTGAAGTAAGGCTGAATGCTTTTAATAGTTCCATGGCAGTATATCACTGCAGCTGGTATACAAGTTTTTTTCCCCATAGAGATTCCATACATTAAAAAAAAAAATTTCTGCCCGTGACAGAATTCTGCATATTCTGACATAACAATACAAAGATGCAAAAATGCAGGACATCCAATTATGTTTTGAGGAATGCTATGTAGTTTTGATATAGGGGTTCTTATCTAAGCCAGGTAAATATGAGATATTAAATATTTAAACACCTTGTCAGGGTCTCTCAAACTACAGGTAGTCCTTGACTTACAACCAGCCATTCATCTAGTGACTATTCAAAATTACAACAGCACTAAAAAAAGTGGCTTACATTCAGTCCTTGCACTTATGACCATCACAGCATCCACATAGACCTATGATTAAAAATTGGATGCTTGGCAACCAAGATGTATTTAAAACAGTTGCAAAGTGCTGGGATCATACGATCTCCATCTGCGACCTTCCCAGTTGGCTTCCAACAAGCAATGGGGGAAGTCAGATTTGCTTAATGATCATGTGATTCACTTAACAACTGAAATCGAAATTCTGGTCCAAAGTGTGGTTGTATGTTGAGGGGCTGCCTGTATTATACATTGTTATTATTATTCACAACTCATTCATTTGGGCTTCAGGTACTCTATCCCTATACTGAAATCCAGTTTACTGGATGAGAAAACAAAAGAAAAAGAAAAAAAGGAGACAGAATGAAAAACAAAAGGAAGAAGTCCCACCCATGACTCCTCCCTCATATGTTGTCTCCTATGGAACACAGCCATTAGCAGAAAAGGGTCTTCTTCCATAGCTTATAAGGGGAACTTCATTTAGCTCATCATTCTGCCTTGAAACAGCAAAATAAAGCCCAATTCAAAATAAGTTTCAGTACAGATCATCATGAGCCAATAAGACGTAGCACATAAGCAGTGGTCAGTTTTTTATTCCTTTAAATTAAATTATTTTGATAGACTGCAACCCAATAAAGAAGCGTTGCTTTGCATATAAGGAGACGTTAAAAAGCTTACCATGAACCTACTCTTATCTTGAAACCTTGAGTAAGTTTTATGTTCTCCTGATTCTGTTGGGGTGTTGTACTCATTGTCCACCTGAAGGACTGTATCTGGCTGATCTCTCATTCCAGAATTCTTGAAGATGTCTGTCTGCAGAGTATCACAAAAACTGTTATTTTTAAAAAAATTAAACACTGAAGAACATCACTGAACAAAGGAATAAACAACACTAGGAAGGAAGGTGAGATATAGATAGTCCTCACTTAATGACCACTCGCTTAACAACCATTGAAAGTTATCATGGTCCCCAAAAAGCTACTACTTACAACCCGTCTTTGAATGTGTCACTCCTGCATCAACCCCTCCTCCGCAGTCACGTGACCACATTTTGGGCACTTAGCAAAAGGCTTGCATTTTATAGTGGTTGCAGAGAGATTTGCAATGTTTTTGCTGGTTTCTGGCAAAAAGCACCCATTCAGAAAAATGGATTTGCTTAACGATCACATCATTCATTTAACAGCCACAGTGATTCACTTTGCAACTGTTGTTAAAACAGTCATAAAATCCATGGATGTCACATAGTGACTCACTTAACAACCACAATAACTATGACCAAAATTCCAGGCTCAATTGTGGTTGTTAAGTCAGGACTACCTGCATATAAAACATCCTTGTACTGAACAGCTAGTTCCAGGTTATCTATTTGGACTAAAACACCTGGGCATAGACTACAGTACACATGTTCCAAGCAGAGGTATGTCAGGTCAAAAAAAAAAAAAAAATCAATCCCGTCAAACTTCCAAAATATTCACTCCTCTATATCCCTTCAGCCACCAATGACACTCTCAGCTTCAAACATGGTTTATCCGACCCCTCTCCCAATAAAGAAAAATTTGAAAAGGAGACTGGAATGATTGGATACACCATGTTTGGAACCAAAGACATTGACAATAGTTACAAGCAGGTTGGGAAAGAAAAATAATGGGAGTATCAACAGGTGGACTAGTACACAAAGAAGAGAAAAGGGTGAGGAGCACTAAATACAAGAAGACTTCTTCAGGCCAGTGGAGTGCAGGGTGGTCAAGAAGGCAGAGATAGGTGAGTGGGGGAAAAGCTGAAGTGCACCATGCAATTGTTAATGCAGACTGAATTTTGTTCACATGACCCCAGGAGCACGGCAATGGCCATAACTTCAAGGACCAGGTATGACTACCATTTGTTCAGTGCTATTGTAACTTTGAACAGTCGCTGGACAAATGGTTGTTAAGCAAGGATTACCTATAGGCAAGAAGTAAGAATAGCATGCTGCCAAATGTGACATTGGGTCTCCTTCTTAAAACTTAACAATTTAACTGTTTAATTGAATTTAATAATATCTGACCTGTAAATTATTTGTCTGGGAGAATTCCTTGATTATGTTTAGAAGAGGAGCCAACATGGTAGATTTAGCTTCAGAAATGCCATCAATTCTCTTCATAATTTCCACAGTTGTAGGCCTGAAAAAATGTTACAGATGTTACAGACATTCTATGATTTTATTATTTTAAGTTTGATATATGAAGGTAAAAAGAAAAAAAAAAAGACTTATAGATGCAGAAGGAGGGAGAAAATGAAAGTACTTGCTGAAGAACCTGAAAACAGAAATTAAAACCTAGATAAACTAGCAAAGTTTACAATCCATTCCAAAGTTACATACGTAACACTGTGATTATTTTAGGGAGAATTCAAGCATATGCAGATCATGTGAATATTGTGTGAATGGATCACAGTTGAGCAATGCCTAACCACAGTTTAACTCTGAATAGTGTACTAACATTATACAATGTTTCACTGCCAATAGGAGTAAAGTGATTACTGGCTTCTGGTCTGCTTGACCATCTTTTATTTTACCTATATTATTGCAAAATGAAATTTAAATTCATATTTAAATTCAAAATTTTGATATTTTATTATTTATTTTATGGAATTCAAATCTTTTTTACTTTTCAGAACAAATCCCAAGGTGGTAAATTTAATAAATGGAGTTATAGTGTATAATTGGCATCAAATTAAGGCTACTGATCTCAAGCACATTTGCTAAAGTAAAGCAAAATTTCCAAACTTGTGTCAGTGTGAATCATTTGAACAGATTTAGAAGGATGAAACATAAAAAAAAACAATTCTAATTATTTGAAATGTTATCAAAACAGGTGGATCTAAATTCTCATTAGTCAAGAGCAACTGTATGAGATAAACATGAAAAGTCTAAAATGTTTGGAAATCATTGTAATAATTCCCCAGTTAGAGACACAAAGTAAATTCTGTAGAGTTAAAGGTGAAAATGATAAGACAAGCCATCAATGCTTTGGTATATAAACACATTTCCCCCTTTTCTGTTATATTGTGGTCAAATAGATTTTCTGATTTTTGGGAATAATTAGTTCAGGAATTCTCAAACTGTGGGACAAGTCACTCCCAGCAGGTCAAGAAAAAGGAAGATAGCAATTTTGTTAAGCAAATGAAGGCTGTTGGGTGGCAAGAAAAAAGCTTTTAAAAAAAACCAATCTTCTCTCAGTTTTGATGATTGTAAGTTTGAGTTAGGTGGAAGCAAATGGTTTAGTTTATTACTCAATCCTAACTCCAATGAAATTATTAATTTATTCATGGGGTGGAATGGGAAGATGAATTCATACAAATTCATTTAACGTTTTAGGAGATGAGAATCCCTGACATTTCCCCAGCAAAATGATTCCTATTGTTCTCCAACATGTATCAAATGAGGTTCACTCACTCATTTCAATGAAAATCCATACCTTATCAGAGTCATATCAACCAGCACTTTATTTGTTGCAAGCACAGCTGGAGGGATATCTTTTTCACTGGCAAGTTTCTGCCTGGCTGCCACTAATTTGCCATACAGTACAGTCTAAAAGAAACAAAAAATGTTTACAAATTATTGCACTGAAATGAAAAGGCAACATTCTTTTAAAAATATCAATAAACAAACTTGCTACTCCATTTAAAAGATGTCTTTTTTTAAAAATAAAAAAAAAAGGATGCAAATATAAACAAGAAACAAGAAGTAGGCTATCTATCGGGAGCATTACTCTTTCATTTTAATTCAGAATAGAATGCCGCATCTAGGATGGCATTTTTAAATGTAGGCCTTTGTGCCTCTGAATTAGACTTCCCTCCCGGCAACTGCCTAGGCAAGTCCCTGGAGTTTTCTAGCAATATTGCAATATGGCTGGTTACTTACGGGTCCGCCTGCTACCACCAATAGCCTCCCACCGGCCAGTACGCTCCCATAGAGAGGGGCTCCTCCAGGTGCCGTTGGCCAAACCATGTCGGCTGTCGGCCCCTAGGGGAGAGCCTTCTCTGTGGGGGCACCTATGATCTGGAACGAGCTCCCCCCGGAGATACGGAGGATCCCGGATCTGCGCACCTTCCGCCGCGCATTTAAGACTCTTCTATTTCACCAAGCTGGCCTGGCCTAAATCTTCCCCCTTTTAATGTGGAAATTTTAAATTTGTTTTAATTATAGGGTTATGGGTAAGGCGTTTTAAATTGGGGAGCCATTTTGGATTTAATTTTGTTTTAAATGTATTTTAATGTTTATATTGTATGTTTTTTAATCTTGGCTGTTCACCGCCCCGAGTCCTTCGGGAGAGGGGGTGGTATAAAAATTTAATAAATAAATAAATTTAATAAATAAATAAACTAAGAGGGAATGACTGCCCCAAGGTCAACCAAATGGTTTCATGCTTCAAGTGGGACTAGAATTCAGTTTCTAGCCTGAGGCTTTTAACCACTATGCCAAACTATCTTTCTTAGATGTGAGTACATCATTCAGAATCAATATCATTATTCTCTTCTCTTCCAAATTATTAAGTTTTACTCAGATGACATCCTGAGGGAGTCAAACAGATTAGCATGATGAAAGCAGTGTCTTACTATCAGCCTTGTCCCTTTATATCTGTGCCATGACATTGCAACAATTTTCCAAAGCAGCAGAAATCATAGCACAACAGTGTAATAATACTTTCCGCATTTTGACAAAAGAAACAGGGATCAACAAATGCCCAGTGAGGTATGACTTAGTTTTCACTTTGATTAAAACTAAATCAATCCATTCATTATGATATCTATAAAATCATAATGATTTTATAGAAATATCGCGGGGGATTATGGGAGCAACGGGGCGCTCCCATGTGACACCTCTCCTGGGCGAGCTGCACTAGCTTCCGGTGTGCGCTTCAAGGTGTTGGTGACCACCTTTAAAGCGCTCCATGGCTTAGGGCCGGGGTATCTAAGAGACCGCCTTCTGCCGCCAATAACCTCCCACCGGCCAGTTTGCTCGCACAGAGAGGGCCTTCTCAGGGTGCCGTCGGCCAGACAATGTCGGCTGGCGACCCCCAGGGGGAGAGCCTTCTCGGTGGCGGCACCTGCCCTCTGGAACGACCTACCCCCAGAGATATGCACGATACCAGACCTCCGGACTTTTCGTCGGGCCCTGAAAACTCATTTATTTCATCTAGCCGGGCTGGCTTGATCCCATCCTTTTGGTTTTAATTTGAAATTGGTTTTAACTGGGTTGTTTTAAATTATGGGCCAAAATTATTTAATGTCTTTTAAACTGTTTTTAAATTTTATATGTTATGTTTTTATCTCGGCTGTTCACCGCCCTGAGTCCTGTTGGAGAAGGGCAGTATAAAAATCAAATAAATAAATAAATAATCATGAAAGAAACCTGGTTCTTGTATGAATCTAATCACCAAACACTGGGTATACTAACCTGCAATTCCTTCTCCCTTTCAGATATAACAGTTTCTGTATCACTCAGAGAGGTGGAAGGCTGTGATAACTGCATAGGGCCACTACTATTGAAAGAAAAACAAATAGCAGCAAATAAGACAAATAAGAGCACATAAACGCTTGCATTTTCCTAGAAGGGGCCAATGAATGAAGGAACCAAAAGCCTTGTGAAATGCTTATTGGATCAAGTATGAAAGGCATGCTTATGGCACAAGCTGGAGGAATAGATGCTGCTATTAATCTTTCTACAAGGAACTGACATGTTTTGTTTCTCTGGGAAAATTACCACATTTTAAAGATATTCAGTGAAAAAGCCATTCCTAAATTTAAATTGGTGACAATAGCATCAGCATATACCATACAAACTTATTATAGAGTATTCCAACTTCTATCCACCCAACATTCTCAACAAACATTAATATGAAGAAATAAAAAAAAAAAACTACAGAAAAAGAAAAACTAATTATTTTCAGAAATACCTTTTATCTGAAAGTATACTCTGGCTGGACCTCTTACTAATTTCTGAATAGGAAAACATTTCATGCAGAGGAGTGTTCTTCAGTAATGTAGAAATTAAAAAAAAGAAAAAATGGATATGCATCTTATAATGTTTTTTGGATACATTTAAATACAAAAGTTTTAAGAATATACAACTTTACAAGTAATTTAATAGGATTAGGAACAAATCACATCACCACAGTTTGCTTGGGTTTCAATAACAGGAAGCATTAACTTTGAAGAGTGGAGAAATGTAAAGATAATACTGAACTAAATATGATATGAAACTAATTATGTTACAGTTCAGCAAAAATGCCAATGCAACCATGGTAGGCATCATCCGAGCCAAAATACAGAACAGCCTCTTGACTTCTTGGATAAGAATGAAAGCCAGCATCATTTCAGAAACTAACCAATTTAAATTTCTGAGTGTAAATTCTTATTCCAACATGTTACTGATTTTTCTACCCCTTTTATTGAGGAACCAGAAATAAACATGTACATATATCTTTTTTAGATCAACTGGATTTTGTACAATTTTATCTGGCTTTCTGATGCCTGCTCTGTGAAATATCCTCCCCACGAGATCCAGCAAGCCTTAATTCTTTTTGCCTCCTGGAAGGCCTTAAAATGCTGGTTCTTTCACCAAGCACTGTAATCAGGTGAGACTGTAGCCCAAAGACTGGGAACTGTTGGCTGGTCACTGTTTTCTAGATGCTGCTTTTAATTATTTCCTTTATGTTCTTATTGCTGTTTGTGGGGAGCTGCACAGAACTGTAATAAATGCTCACTGCTGATTTTATAATGAAACATTGTTCTCTAATGAATCTCACAAGTAATTTGTCATTTACTTTCTTTTGTCACAATTAACATTTCTTCTTTCAATAATATCTTACAGAACTATGGTTCATTTTACCAGGTAGCTTCAATTTTAACCCACAATTAACAAATATGCTGGATTCTTCTGATCATCTATATACCAGACATATTTCATCTCAAACCCACAAGAACACTAATTTCAACTGATTAATTTATGCTGCTAGATTTTTCCTCCAACTGGAGGAATGCATGCAATTATCAGGAAAATAGTTTCAGTAAAGCTCTTTCAACCATTTCTAAATTCAGCAATTTTGTTTCCATATGGAAATTGTCTAACAATAATTCCTCTATTAACGACAGCTGATAGATCTGTTATGTATAATCTGCGCTATTCATGTTGCTACTGCCTCTGACTAAGAGATAATATCTCTAGGTTACCAGAAAAGATGTATCTCTGATATAACACAGACCTGTTTCCTGAGTGTTGACAGAGGTAACCCAGTACTGGAAACATGTCCTGCTTCTGCAGAGATTTGTTTATTACTGAAAAGGGGAAGATAAAGGAGTTTAGACATCCTGAAAGCAAAAACCAATCCCACAGTAAACATTCTTTGCAAAGCATTCTGATTCAAACAATTCTGAATTTGAAGCATATTATCTCAAGCAACTTGGAAGGAAGTACAAAGCTCAAAACACAAGCTGAGCTCAAAACAGAAAAAGAGATGGCTACAATTAAACCAATTCTGCATATACATAGGCAAAAGAGCTGTGAGTTTAAATGTACTACTTTCACACAATATAAAGCTCAACATGTTAAAGAAGGTAGCAACTATTTACTTACACTGGCTAACTTTTATCTTTTAACACTTTTGTCACAGTATTTACAAATAAAAACTAATTCTTAACTAGCAGCCTTGGAAAAACATTCAACCCTAAATATCCAGAGATTTGAAAGCACAAAATATATTACTTTGGCTGGCAAAGAATTCTGAGAATTGTAAAATCCAGAAATTTTGACTAGTCTAGAAACAACAACAAAAAGTCTCCTGGACTGACTGACAGAATGGCTTGAAATGCATGCCCTTCAGAATCAGAAGATATAATCACCTTGGAGTAGGTTTCTTTAAGCATAGCTCCTCATCAGATGGAAGGAAAAGGCTTTGTGTCTGCCCTTGTCTTGATTTACTGAGCCAATCTTTACCCTGAGAGCAAAACAAATTATTTAATACACTGATACCCCAAATAGTCACTTAACTGAGCACTTTGTCTGATGACTACAAACCTACCTTCTCAGTAAGCATGCACATGACTTGAAACTTGTTTTGACCAGAAACTTCTTTAAGAAAACCCTCAAGCATGAGATGTCGGCCCAATGCCTTCCATGAGTGCTCTGGCCAATCCTTCCCGCTTCCAAACAGAGCGTAACTCCGGAAATTGTCTGGGAGACGCTTAGAAGACTGGTTTAAAACAAAAAAGGCTAGTAATACACTCAAGAATACAGTATTTAAAAGGCACAAATCTCTATTTGCTTCTGCATAATTCTATACTGTCATCACTTTACAATGCAGCCTTTCCATTATCCCATCAAATAAAATAAATAAATAAATAATTTTATTTCTATACCGCCCTTCTCCCGAAGGACTCAGGGCGGTGTACAGCCTATTAAAAGCACAAAGACAGACATTAGTTAAAAATAGTTAAAATTATTAAATAATTTCGGCTCAGATTTAAAACCCCAAAAATTTAAAACACCCAATTTAAAAATCATTACATTGATAGCCCGGCCTGGCGGAACAGCAGGGTCTTGAGGGCACAGCGAAATACACGGAGGTCGGAGATCTTACGCATTTCCAGGGGCAGTTCATTCCACAGGGCAGGGGCTCCCACAGAGAAGGCCCTCCCCCTGGGTGTCGTCAGCCGACATAACTTGGCTGATGGCACTCTGTGGGAGCGAACTGGCCGGTGGGAGGCTGTTGGTGGCAGAAGTCGGTCTTGAAGGTACCCGGGTCCTATGCCATGGAGCGCTTTAAAGGTGGTAACCAACACCTTGAATCGCACCCGGAAGACCACTGGGAGCCAGTGCAGCTCACGCAGGAGGGGTGTCACGTGGGCACAATGGGTTGCGCCCATAACCACCCGCGCGGCCGCATTCTGGACCAGCTGGAGCCTCTGAGTGCTGTTCAAGGGGAGCCCCATGTAGAGACCATTCAAGAAATATACATCTTTCTAATATATAGAAAATGACTGCCTCTTCACAGAGAACCAGCGTAATAAAAGATAAACAAGCTATATTAGATTTCTATGGAAAAGGAAGTTGCAGAAGGGTTTATATATTTATATTGATATTTCCTGAAAAGGAAGACCTTTTTTCCAGTATAGGCTAAATTTAAAATAGAATAAAATAGATTAAAGTCAATTCAAAATATATCACTGGAGGCAAGTTTGTTTTTTATTTAAGCTTTTTTTTTTAAGAAAAGTTCATCTGAAATGAAAAAAATTACATTTAACTATTAATGTGCTTAGCCTAACTGGAAGAATAAGAAAGCAAATCAGATTTTAAGAAACTGGATCCTAAAAGCAAAGGCATTGAAACAATTTTTGCGACATAACCTTCCCGTTTCCCCTCCCCCCCAACAATTCTATGTTTATATCTTCAGGAATCCTCAAATCTTCAGTTGGATCAGGGAATGGTTTTTGCTTTGTCTACTCAACTGTACCCAGGTAAAGAATATTCTGCATCTCAAACCTTGGGCTAAACTGGGACAAAAATGTAGTCTACTCAACAGCATATGCCTCTCTTGATTTTATTCCCTGGACTGTTAATGACTTTGCTAAAGTCTTGAGCCAGGACAGTATCTGAATCCTGTTACAAGAAGCACATTTTATACTGCAGCATTTTCTCTATAAAAATCCCTTTGGTAAATTTGTAGGCCACATGGCCACATTATTCTTTCTCCCTTCCCCTCTTTCTGACAATGTTAACTTACAGTATGTATTCAAGGCATTTGAAATCATGACTTAAAATTTCACTTTTAGAAAGTATGGTATCAGTTTGACTACCGTGTTTCCCCAAAAATAAGACCCTGTCTTAAATTTTTTTGAACCCCGAAATAAGCATTTGGCCTTATTTTCGGGGAGGTCTTATTATTTTGGGGTGCATGGAGGAAATGGCGGGGACCAGCTGCACATGCATTTAAATATTTTTGGGGAGGGCTTATTTTCAGGGGAGGGCTTATTTTAATGCATGCGCTCAAAAGCCCGATTGGGCTTATTATCAGGGGATGTCTTATTTTAGGGGAAACAATTTTAGGGTAGAAATTACCAGCATGTCTTAGTTGGGCAAAGTATGTTAATACTCTTTCATGTTTTGCATGGATTGTATCCTATTGGTAACCTACTGATGAAATGTTAAAAAGCAGTAATGAGAGCTTGATATGTTTGATGACCTATTCTCCCAACAATCCTTTGCACCATCTCTCCAAATGGTCTAAGAGCAGATTTTTGATCAGGCTATGCACAGGGTAGATGAAGTATCCGTATTCCTTTCTACCTTCATTAGAGCTTTCTGCTGGAACAAAGAGCATTTAGTTGCTGGAGAGATGCCAAATGGATATCACTTTCATGTAGTTATTATTTTCTCTTTTAATATCTTTCTCTTGGACTTGTTTCATCATTTTTATTTTTGCTCTGGTTTGTAACTCAATTTGGGGCCTTAATAGAATGGTATGCATCATTTCACATGTCCACAAACACAAAGTGTTGGAAATTGGCATCCACAAAATGAAACAAACAAAAAATCTCACAACTGAAGAAGCCATATTTTGAAAGTTTTAAACCCTCCTTTGTCTTAATAGGGATAGTGTAGGATTTCAGCTGAGGCAACTTTTTAATTTGAAAGTTCCCAGGAGAATTTGATCACCACTGAAGATGGATTCAAATTTCAAATAACAGGTGAAATCTGATCTCTCTGGTGACTCACTTGAAATCTGTTTAGGAACACACCTGTGCTTATTTTTACCCAAAGTTTACTAGGTTGAACAAAGCTGATGATAAAACAATTCTTCACAAACCATGGGTGAACGTGGTGTAAATTATTTATATCTGGACTTATGCTTTGTAAAGGACAATTCTAATTATTTTAATATTATTATCAAACCATTAAATACTTGTTACACATACAAATAAAAACTACATAGAATAATATATTAGACTTTGCATCTGAAATACTGTTAATTACAGTAAATAATTAGTAAAACATAAAAAGCAAAAGTATAGTTTCCTATTATAATAATTAAAACAGTTTCTTAAACCATAACAGCAGAAGAAACTTTCTGACATATTCTACAGTTAATACAGAAGATTAACTGAAAATTAATTCTTTTCCTAAGGCATTTTTCAATTTCAGTTGAATGAAACAGTGAATAGCTCTTAAAATAGCCAATTTCATACATACTGAATGACCTACCTTAAATAACTAATAGAAGGAAGTATTGCCATAGCACTTTCTGACTATTCAAAGTGATTTTTATACGTTTTTAGTACTGCATAATAGAAAAGGCTCTCAGTCATACACAGTATTTTTAGAAAAGAAAACTGGCAAGAAATTGTTGCACAGGGTTTTATTTGAAACCATGAGGTTTCAGTGCCCATGGGGGGAAAAAAAGCCCAAATACTGGATTATGGAATGCCAAGAGAGGACATGAGAGATGATAGCATTATTTCACTTAATCTGTCCTATGGTAGGATAGATAAAAAGGTGAAAATTAAAACATAAATTATATTTATTAAAATTAAAACAACATTTAGTCAAATATGAAAGCTCTACAGAATGCACAAAGTTGTGAAAGAAAGTTTGTGAATATTTAGCAAATAATGGAATGGGACACAATCTTATGTATACTCTTTAACTCACAAACTTTCTGTTACCACAGTAAGTAGCACAGAGCTTGTTCTTTCATAGGTAATGAATAATACTGAATTAATAAGAAGTAGAAAATCCTAGAATGCTTGCACTCCCAGACCCACCATTTGCCCACTACCATGCAAATAACATTACCAAATTTGCATCAATTTACCATACTTACAGATCCTCTGAGAAACAATATTGGAACCCCCATGCCAAATCTCTCCTTTAGAGTACATACTGCAGACATCAGTTTGCTTGCTTGCTGACCAAAATCTTCAAAAATCCGTTGAGGGCTAATTTCCGAAGCACAAAGAATGTTCCTAGAATTGCACCAACATGTATACATTGTTTATAACTGTTACCAAAAAAATTTGGGGGGCGGGTGAATATTTTTCTCTTTCTTATACAGGTATACACAGTCAAATCATTACATTACAACCTCGCATAATCGGAAAAGCAACCTAGAAAATGCTTCTTTTCTAATCACTGATGTCATCAAGACCAATGGGCAAATTAGTCTTCATCTTATTTACGCTTCTTGACAAAACGGTATTAGTAAAAAACCTTCAAACTTATCTTTTTCAATATTCTCACAATACTATGACCCTCATTTCATTATTTTTCTTGGATATTAGTATGTTTGTTTCAATTGCATTTGTTGATGTATCATTATCTTTCCCATATAAATCTCTACAATTTTCAATGTGCTCTCATTTCCCTTTCCTCCTTAAGAATGTTATTACTTTATTTTCTATTTTTAAGTTCAAATGTTAAACTTCATTTGATTTGCCATCAAACACAAAAACACACACACACCATACACACAAACATTTAAATGTCTCGCTACTCTGAGATCACTGTTTAAAAGCAGACATTTTTATAAGCAGACATATTTCAGATTTGTTACTAGTCTCCAAATATCCCAATTACTTTTTCTTTATTCACATCTCATTCCTACTCATACATTCATGTCATCTAATAAAAATATTCCTTCTGCCCCATAATTGCATTGATGCAGAATGTTGTCCAATGGTTTTCAAACCAATCTCTGCTTGTTTCTCAAACAATAAAGCCTAAAGCATTCAGGGCTGTAAATAGTGAAGCACCAACAACTGAAAATCAGTATTGAACCTTCAATCCGGACAGGATATGGACCCAGGGATTTTGCACTGGTTGAATGTCCACCTACATCATTATATACCAATGAAAGCATCTAGGCACTTTTCAGAGAAAACTTCAAACTGAATATTTTGCAATATTCTAATTGCAATGCTATCAATGCATGGATTGATGGTTGCCAGGCTGAGTGATTTAATTGCTATCTTGAGGCAGCTCATAAATTTTTATCATGTCTTCTGTCTGGTCAGCTGCATTTTTCCCAAATTAGGAAATTCAAGCACTTTAGCTTGAATTAAATGGGGTAGGTGGCCCAATGTCAGATCAGATAACAACAAAATGGGTTCAAAAACTTTCATGTCCTTAGATAATTCTAGTTCTGACTTATGTTAACTGATCTCACAGATTTATTGTGTGAATAAAATATAGAAAATCTATCTTTGGCAACTTAATTCTTTAGATTATAAATGTAAAATAGTGAAACTAAAATAAAATTATATTCTGTGAATTAACTTTTGGCAGTGAATGACTGAATAGCATACCATATACTGATATATTCTTTATGTTAAAAGTAATGACAGTTTAAGAATACTTCATTAGCAGAGAGCCATTATCCATTTATCTGCTGAGGGAAGGTGGTTCCAAACCTTAAATCTTTGGGGTGCAACATTTACCTCGATCTGCAATTATCACAACATTTTTCTGTTCCCATGATGCCTCTTGATGCCTTTCGGAGTTGTTTGTCTTCAAAATGAGACAAGATGATTCTGCCCAAGAGAACGTTGGGAATTAAATAAAAGAACAAGAATGTACATGTTAAATTCATTGAAGAAAACAATGAGCTGAAATCATCATCATTAATTAATTCACATAGGAGCTAATTATTTGTCCTTGAATTATCCTGAGACAAACATTTTTTTTTCAAAGTATGAAACTGATGGTACAAGTGCAAAAATCCAGCAGAACCCTCTATGACTTTTCAAAATCTCACTTAGCTTTACTGAAAGCTACTGTTCGTCACTTGCTAAAATATACAACATAAACACTTACCTCCGCCTGCAGCTTTTTAAGCATAGATATTCCTCAATCTTGGCCATCATCTTCAGTTTGTACAGGCGAAAGTTTTCAGCCGGTATGTCACTGATTAGGTGTCTTAAAAAGGAAAAGAATAGAAAAAAACCTGAAATACTGATAATTCATCTGATTTATTTTTCTGCTGCCTCCCTCCCCCCCAAATTGTAAATCTGTAACAGGCAATACATAGGAATGTATGATGTTATATAACATCAATCATCAATTTGCTACAGGTCATACACACATACACACACAGCAAGAATATATCAATATGGTGGTGGCCATAGTATATGGAAGACTGTGACTTGGAAAATGAGAGGGATAAATAATAAAGAGAATGAATTAAGAAATGAAATGAAGGAAAGAAAGAAAATCAGATTATGTTGTACATTTGTGAAACTAAGAAAAGGGTAAGACATAGCATTGTATGATGATTTTCAGTTTTGAGGAGTACAGTGGCTGAATAAAGAGAGTATAGGGAGTATGTATTTCCCTAATCCTTGAACCAGGTTTAGAGTAAGTCCATGTAATAAAGATGTTGTTTTAAAAATTATTCTGTTAAGTGTCAGTGGATGGACTAAAACATGTTAAATATATTTAATGAGTGGGTTATTCAGAGATCCTGTTTCATGAGTATCTCCTTAAAATAATCTTATATTTTAAACAGAAGTCCATTCATGGCATATTCTTTCCCATTCATGGGAAAAGAATAAATATAAATTTAAAAGATTTATTTTAATTGTTATTGTTTATGATTAAGTTAATTAGTAAAGGCTAGAAAGATAACAGGCTTTGAACAAAGGACAGGCTATTATTTCATAGTGTCAAGAATAGATTTTGGGGGTGGGGGAAAGGACATGGATGAAAAGGAAAGAATGAAAGAAAGAACTGAAGAAAAAACTCATAAGAAAAAGTACAAGGCAGATTAGAATGAACAGAAAGAGAAATGGAAGCTGCTTGAGCCACAAAAATCCATTTACATTATGAATGCTACAGGAATGAAAGGAGCTGTGTTAATGAGGTATAAAACTGCTTAGTTTCATACCTCATTAATACCTCATTCTACAATGCTTAGTAGGAAAAGTAAATCTCTGGATGAAAAAAATACATATAAAGTTACAAAAATGCTGAAATAAAAATACGATATAAGGTATAAAGAAATAAAGATGCACTTGCACAAAAAGTAGTCATAAAATTAAGATTAAAAGAGAAAAGAATAGGCAAAGTAATTTCCACTGAAATAAAAACATTTGGATGTGGGTGAAAAGGAGTTTTCACAAGGTGGATAGAATTGTGAATTAAATTTATGAAATGATCTGGAATGAAAATGAAATGGGAACATGTACTGTCTTCCTTCCTTTTCAGCTTTTATGTGCTTTACAAATCTGCCAATGGTGTAAATGTGAGTATTGATCACAATATTACTTTTTCATCACATTCATAATTGTGAACAGTCACTAAACAAAGCAGTCACTAAACAATGGCTACTTGCAAATGTTTAAAATATTCAGCACGGTTTTATATCTATTGTTTTAATATTTATACGTGCAAAGCAAGTCAGAATTGCACTTACCTATTGAAGCTCATGTCAGCTGGAGTCCACAATACATAGCAAGAGGCTGGAAGCCCATCACGACCAGCCCTTCCAATTTCCTGGTAGTATGATTCCATTTCCTTTGGGGCTCCATAATGTATAACTGTCCGAATGTCTGCTTTATTAATGCCCATTCCAAAGGCTATAGTAGCGACTATACACTGCAGAAAAGAACCAAAATCCCCAATATCAAAGTTACATTCATCTCAGTACTAATGCAGTTTTCAGTGTTAATGTTTGATCTGCATAAAGTATTTTTATACTATGACTTGTCAATGCTTTGCCAGACTCAGCTTAGAAACTCAATATTTGAATTCCAAGTATTATTTACTAAATCCAATACATATGTTAAAATGCCACTGCTGAGGACAAGAATCCCAATTAAAGTGCCCCCAAATGTTTCACCTTCTAGGAAAACACATGCAGTGATGTGAACTGTTTAGGAGATGACCAGGCTAAGTCCAAGAGAGGGGTCAAACATGTCATCAGTTTCAAGTCCCTTCACGACCACAAAAGATCACACTTTGTATTCCAGTAATTCTTATCTACCGCCAAGTTGCTTGGACCCTTAGTAGGTCAGATTCTTTTAGAGAGTTTAAGCTTCCAATAAATCTTTATACCCATTTGAACTGTCTGGACCTTCTGATTTCCCAGGATTTGACAATCCCACTGTCAAAAAAGTTCTTGGGAAGTTAAATCTTGTTTTAAATAGTCAACTAGAATCTGCCTTCCTGATTTGGGGAGAGAACTTCATTTAGGTCTGCAAGAATCAAAACATATCATGCAATGTCAAGAAGTGATTTAATGGGGGGGGGAAGCATTTAAGTAAGCTATTAAAGACTCAGTTGTAGTGATTAGATTGTAGCATAGATTTAACTGTTTTAAGCTTCCACACACAAATATTATATATATTTTTATATATCATTTTCCTCAAAAAATAAATGAACAAGTATAATGTTTTACACTCATTTGTTTAATCTATCTAGCAGTACCACATTTCCCTGAAAATAAGACCGGGTCTTATATTAATTTTTGCTCCAAAAGATGCATTAGGGCTTATTTTCTAATTAGGTCTTCTTTTCAAGGAGATACAGTAAATGCATCTGACTGGCTGACATTCTTAACTGGGGCTTATTTGGGGAGGGTAGGCCTTATATTATGAGCATCCTGAAAAATCATGCTAGGGCTTATTTTCTGGTTAGGTCTTATTTTTGGGAAAACACAGAAGTTTTAGGACTTGATCATGTTTAGATATTTATGCAGAAATACTAAAATTCAGAAGGCTTCATAAAAAGCACCACTATACATGTGTATGCGTGTTTACACACACACGCACACACACACACACACACACACACACACACTGGTTTGATTAAAACATGAAATATGATCATTTTATTCCAAATCATGGACTAAAATATGAATGAAATTGTACTAGATAGACCATTAATTGAACAGATTCAAGGTACTCCTCAGAAGTTCTATATTAAATGTTAAAACTTCCTGATACTAGTTAGACTGACTAGTTTGTCTTCCCAGTCCTCCTTTTTTAAAAAACAGGAAATATACTCAGAATATTAATATATGCATAAATGTCATGACCTTAAAAAACAACCACATAAATTAAAGATTATATAAAACAAGGTTTGAACTATTGGCATTTATATAGCATATCTCCGATGTAAATAATATACCTATATTGCTTCAAAAGAAAGGAAGAAATGTAACTATACTATACTATTCATATTTCATCAAAAATTTTGAAATAATCAATTAAAAATGCCAGAAAAAAACATTTAGTCAGATCCTATGAATAAAAACACTGAAGTATTGTTGAATTCAATAAGGCATTGTCTTATTCAATAAGGCAACTCGAGAGCAGACCAGAAATGCTTTGCGAGTTGTTGTTGTTGTTGTTGTTGTTGTTGTTATTATTATTATTATTATTATTATTATTAGTTCAATGTATATGCCGCCTTTCTCCAGAGACTCAGGGCGGCTTACAATGCATTTAAAAAACCATTATAAAAACATCTAAAAATTAAAATATTAAAACCCATTCACACCATTCATGGCCGGATCTCACAAGATCGCAAGATAAACGGCCCCAGGCCTGCCGGAAAAGCCAGGTCTTCACCGCTTTTCGGAAGGCCAATAGGGTGGGGGTGGTCCAGACCTCAGGAGGTAACTGGTTCCAGAGAGCTGGGGCAGCCACAGAGAAGGCCCTCCCCCGTGGGCCCGCCAGCCGGCATTGTTTAGCTGACGGGACCAGGAGGAGACCAACTCTGTGGGATCTTACCGGTCGCTGGGAGCTATGTGGTAGAAGGCGGTCTCGAAGATAACCTGGCCCTGAGCCATGTAGGGGTTTAAAGGTAATAACCAACATCTTGAATTGTGCCCGGAGACCAATAGGGAGCCAGTGCAGCTCGCAGAGAATTGGTGTAAGGTGGGTGTATCTAAGTGCACCCACGATAGCTCGCGCGACTGCATTCTGGACCAACTCTGAACACTTTTCAAGGGTAGCCCCATGTAGAGTGCATTGCAATAATCTAACCGTGAGGTGACAAGGGCATGAGTGACTGTGAGGAGAGCCTCCTGATCCAAGTAGGGTCACAATTGGTGCACCAGGCAAACTTGTGCAAAGGTCCCCCTAGCCATAGATGTCAAATCTTGCTCTAATCTTAGCTGTGAGTCTAGGAGGCCACCCAAATTGCACGCCCGTTCTGAGGGGGACAATTTCTCCTCCCCCCAGAACCAAGGATGGACAATCAACATAGTCTTTAGGAGGCAATACCCACAGCCACTCGGTCTTGTCTGGGTTAAATCTGAGCCTGTTGACTCCCATCCAGACCCTCACAGCCTCCAGGCATCGGCATACTATCAGGTAAATGTTGACCGGCATACTATCAGGTAAATATGCAGAGAATTAATATATCAACTTCAATAAGACATTCATAATCAACTTTATTAACTAGTGAGTCCTGATTTTGAAAAGGAAAACAATACATTTATATGGTACCAATAGAACCGATTATCTGTAGCTCAGGGTTGAACTATGGGGTCCTTGATGGTCTCTGACCTTGGTTCAAGCTCAGAGAGCACTAAGGTCCTCATGTTTATGTTGTTTTATATATTTAATATGGAAACCTTCTTCTGTATATTTCATTTGCCTAAACTAGATAACAAGTAAAGTTGTTCCATACCGGAATTTCATCTCTCATGAATTTATGGTGGACAGCTCTTCTTTCCTTGATTCCCATGCCAGCATGGTATATACCACAAACTAGATTTAATTTTCTTAGCTCTGCAGCTACTTGTTCAGTAGTCTTCCTTGATGGACAGTAAACAATGGTGGGGCCCTCAAATTCATATGTAGACCTAAGATTAGAAAAATAAGTAGAAATCATTTGTATGTGAGGTTTTTCCAGTAATTATTAGAATAGCTAATAAACTGATTAGTCTATGATAAATCTCAATGTCAATTTACATTACTTTAAAATTGCCTTTCTCTCAAACACATATCAGGCCTTCAATAGGTCCAATTAGGAAACCAAATTCATATAACCTAACAGTAATTTTATTGTAAAGTTATAGCAACAGAATCTTGCAAGTTTGAATGTGTCTTTCCCCCCTTTATTTCCATGTGAACTAGAAAGGGTCTTGTCTGAGACATTTGCATACATTGCATTTCTGCTCCAGACTCAGGTTTCTTTTATCTATCCGTTGCCTTGGCAGCAGCTTTCTTCTGTCTCTCAAGGCCATTCGTCTCCCTCCGTATCACACGGGTAAAATACTGACTAATAATATGACTGAAATATTTGCAAGGCATTTTTAGAACTAAAGTACTCTTTATTTTACAAAAAAACATTATGTGGAAGTTTCAATTGACAAAGACTTGATGGGCATTTGAAATCAAAACATATAGATCCATCTGTGGATGATCATGCTATATAAAAGATTACAATTTGGAATCAAAGAGAAATACATGTAAAGAGAACAAATATAATGTTATAATAAGAACAAATGAAAACTTTAAATAGATATGTTATGAAACTAAGAAAGGTGAACGATGTAATAAACCTGGATGAAGGTAGTCTGATTTTATGAAGCAGTACTGATAAATATATGCAGGAAAGCGATGCTAAAGGTCAGAAAATATGAATTAGTTTGCTATGTGCTCATCTTATTTGCTCTTTGAAAATAGCAATATAGGGTTGGTAACAAGTGCAAGTTAAACTCTACTAACTATGATAATGAAAGACTATGGAAAGAGTTCGGGGAAACTATCCAAAATACTAAGGAATGTAATCTAGAGCAATGATTAATCTACATGTGAATGCATGGATGAAAACAATATCAAAGTACAAAAATATTTTACGTCATTTGGAAACCCAAGAATGAATAAGAATGCTACTTGGTGAAGATCTGCCCAAAACTCTGTTTCAAATATAGATTTTATGCATGAATCAAGGAATACTTATAACAAAGGAATAAAACTTGAAAACATAGGACAAAGGAAGAGCAAAAGTTGTATATGACTAAAATTGAAAGAACCGGTAAAGAATACAAAATGAAGGCTTCTGAAAGTGTGACAGACACTTTTTTGGCAATGTCAAGAATTTATGCTTGTGGCGGAAAATAGGTTTTTTCCTTATTATTTCATTCATTCATTCATTCATTCATTCATTCATTTATTTATCTTGCTCACTACTTTTTATTCTTTTTTGCCTTCAATTGTGTCTCTCATATCAAGCTGTGGAAAATGCTGAGAAAAATAGGAATTCCAGAATATCTCATTGTCCTAATTTATATTTGCTTTTATTTATTTTATTTATTAAATTTATTTGCTACCCATCTCATTTTGAAGTGACTCTAATTAAAAGCATTAAAATCATAAAAGGTAAATATACAAGTCAAGAAGCCACAGTACACACAGAACACTGACTTCAGATTGACATAGTAGTACAAGACTGCATACTTTCCCATTTCCTTATTCAACCTATATGTAGAAAATACATTAAAGAAAGCTAGGTTGGAAGAGTAGTGTGGTTTTAAAATCTGAGGAAGGAACACCAATCAAAGACACAATTAATGACATTATCCCGATAACCTAAAATGTAAAGGATCTGCAAGCTGTGTTACTAAAATAAAAAACCACAGTGAAAAAATGGGACTAACAATAAATACAAAAAACAAATTAATCTGCCCCTATAAGGGGTAGTTTATGTAAAACCTTGTACATAGAGGCATGATATAATGTTACACTGATTTCTCTCTTTGACATTTAAGTTGACAGATTCAAATTATTTAATATAAACCCCTTCTACTTCAACAGTATTTTCTCTCCCAATTTAAACTCCATCCTGACAAGAATAGATACCATATAATGCCTTGCAGAAAAAAACTAAAATGCTCACCAGATATTATATCGGTGCTAGATGTCTTTACACTGTGTTAAGCAGTCTTCCCCAACAAATATACAAATAATTTCTTGCTCATATGGAGCACAAACATAATTTAGTAAGTGAATATACAGCTTTATTACCCAATCTGGCCTCTGTAACTATGTTTTAAAAGCAGAAAGAAAAGGATTGCAATGATCAGTAACATTGTATTTACACAACAGACTTTATAGCAGTCCTGTTTGCCAATCCATCTTCTGCTGTTTCTTTAATGTCCAAGCTCCATTCCAACCTCCACAATTAAGCTTTAGTTTATTGATTTATTGTATTTCTGTCTGGCATATACACTACATTCTTCCTTCAAGTTTGTCCTCATAAGAACATTTTCTGAGGTAGATTATACTAAAAGCTAATAATTAACTCCCAAATTCTCAAATAAACCAAACAGGGTTCTAAAAACTGTTTAAAAGATTTATTCCATGAAAATGATCTTCTAGTTAAGAACAAGTTGTCAATATATCTCAGAGATTACTTACTTGTCTTTCTGAATGAGGAACTGCAATAAATCCTGGATTATATTTCCCGATTTTCGCCTAACTTCTAGGTATAGATTAGGTCGGTCAAAACTGGTACAAGTAATGTGAGGATTTCTTAAATTCAAACATTCTATTATATCCTCCCTAATTGAAGAGCTTGCTGTTGCAGTCAATGCAATAATAGGAACCTAAAAAGAAAAAAAGAAAACTGTGACAGAATAAAAAGCTGAATTTACTAATTATTTTAAATGACAATACAAAATTAAGAAATGGAAGTTACCGGAAGCCTTTGAATTGAGTACAGTATTTAGTATGCATGCACATATCCTGGAAACCTTGACCAGAAACAACTAAAGTCCCTCTAACACATGGAGTATATTCACATAGCAGACTAATTCTTGCAAATCAAACTGAAGCCAAGCACACAGTGATATTACTTTTAGCCTTAATCACCATGTGTAGCGATGGTCTTTTCTTGGGTTTACAGATTCAATCACAGATTCCCATATAGTTTAAATTAAGACAGTTCACTGTTATCTAGTGCAGAAGGTTGTTTGCTTGCTTGCTTGTTTGTTTATTACATTTATGTGCCGCCCATCTCATCTAGAGGTAGTTTAGACAGTTTACAAACATTTATCAAAACAAAGGCTAGTCAATATGGAAAGTGATATGTAAGGTATCTGCAGAATATTTAGCCAAGTAAATCTAAGACATCTACAAAATATCTAGCTAAGGCGAAAGTAGGATGATGAACTACCCATCCTTTAAACCATATGGGATTAGTTGCTGAAAGTGAAAACCAACAAAGAAATTCCAATGTTCATTGCGTGTGCGCGCACACACACACACACACATGCACACTTAAACATTTAAAGTGCAGAAAAAATCAATATAAATAAACTTTTTTACCTTTGGAAGGGTTTTCTTTAACAACCCCAAAGACCTGAAAGAATTTCTGAAGTCATGTCCCCACTCAGAAATACAGTGAGCTTCATCAACCGCAATTAATGTGATACCTAAAGAGAAATAAACATAATCCTCTATAGTTTGTTTTCATTTTCAGAATTTAGAGCACAGAGTTGTCTGTAGAACATATAGGGGCTGAAGCAATTTATCTATTTTTCTATAAATAGAGCATTATCTCTGGTAAAGAGATAATAATCTTAAAGATCTTAAAGATCTTTGATCACAACTATTTTTAAAAAGTACACAATGCACAATTAGTTCTGAATTAGTTCTAAAAGGGAACTTGTTCTGCCAGTAATCTGGAAAAACTGAGTAAAGTTTGTGAGAAAGCAGAAATAAGCATTTTATAGTTTTGTTTTATAGTTTTATTGTGCTTCTGCCTGAAAATGGTAAAAAAAATAAAACCCATGCCAGTGGCATTGAGCATCAAAATTCTTCCATGTAATTAGAAGATATTCTGAAGGTAACATGGTGGCCATGGTGGTGTAGTGGTTAGAATGCAATGTTGCTGCCAGCAGTTTGATCCTCACTAGCTCAAGGTTGACTCAGCCTTCCATCTTTCCGAAGTTGGGAAATGAGGACCCAGATTGTTGGGGAAAATCTGTAAACCACTTAGAGAGGGCTGTAAAGCCCTATGAAGCAGTATATAAGTCTAAGTGCTATTGCTATTGCCATTTAGGTGGCTGGCCTCTGCAAACATTTTTTGTTTTGTTTTTGTCACATGCAGAAAGCCAATGATTTGTAATGGTGTGCACAGTTAATTAAAACTGAAAATATGCTAGAAATTCATGCAAATTCAGAAGCCACAACCTAAAAAGAAAAAAAAAATAGGTTAAGAGAAAAGAGAATCAATTGCTTCATTTTCCAAAGATTTATAGAATGTGCACATTGAAATAAATTGTGCCAAATTGCATAATTTATACATTCTGCAGAATTCAACGCACTAATGTACAAAGAATAGGTAGTATAAAGAAGGTTATATAGATATTTTTGGATACCCATAAACTAGTTTACCACTGACTAGCAGAACTGTGCATCCTCACAAGTCCTTGTTGAGGTATAAATATATAAAGACATAAAGACATTCATTAAAAGAAATATATCAAACACAAAACATAATTAAATGGGCTTTCAAGTTATTTAACTTCACAGCAATGCCAAAGATTACAACTTTGTCTAAATGTTTTCATACTATCAAGGTTCTATGTTAAATCAAAGGAGTGATTTTATTTAAGGTAATATTGCACCTTAAGAAAGTGATGTGATCTACCTTGACTCCTCCAGTCCCCCCAGAGAAATCCATCACTTTGCTTTACTGAAAATGGTTGCAGAAGGGACTTCCAATCACACATTTGAATTTGAGGCAGAATTCCAGTGGCTCTTAAAGAAAACGTTTAAGGTTTTGTACATCAATTATCAGCACTTACCAATTGCTTTGTCAATTTGCTGAAGCCACAAGAGATTCCCTGAACAGAATTCCGGAGTTAAATAGACAACTCTATACTGGCCCCTGTGTAAAGCAAAGGAAAACAGAATTACTTTCTGACAAAAGTAAACTAACATTCATATTACATACAGTTGAAGTGTTGCTTAAGATTTGGTTATGGTAGAATTCTCTCCAATAAGTCTCACTGAGTTCAGTATGATTCCTTTCAACAACGTAATAATATTTATTGAGAAAAGTGTTTTTTCAGTACTATAAATACAGGGATGGAATAAAGCTTACGCTTTGATTTCCTCTCTGACATTTTTTGACTGTGCTGATCCAAGGAGGCAAGCTGGAACTCCTGACATTCTGCAGGGGAAAAAAAATCAAAGTAAAGATTAATTCATGAACACTGCATCAGTTTTAAGTATAACTTTTCCTAAAAAAATAAAAGCTAGAATTTGTATTACATGTAAAGTACAACAATTCTTTCCTCTGTCCATGCCTTCGAAATCATCTTGCACAGCTCTGGAAATGTTATATTTCAGAGTAGAAGAAAATAAGCTTAAAACTCTCTATGAAACTTTCAAAAATTACACCAGAAGAAGAATTTGGAAGTGGAATGAGTGACATGCACATCCAAATTACAAAGAATATATAACACATAAGTTATAGCCTTGGTAGTACAGTGGTCTAAAGCACCCTGTTATTAAGAACAGCTGCCTGCAATTACTGCAGGTTCGAATCTCGCCAAGGCTCAAGGTTGACTCAGCCTTCCATCCTTTCTAAGGTAGGTAAATTGAGGACCCAGTTGTGGGGGCAATAAGCTGACTTTGTATAAATATACAAAAGAATGAAGGCTATTGCTTAGCGCATTGTAAGCCGCCCTGAGTCTCCGGAGAAGGACGGCATATAAATCAATTTTTTTTTAAAAAGTTTTTTTATATATAATAAAAGTGTGTTTTTAGAAATGAAAAGCTACTTCCTAAATTAAGAAGTGATTTCACCCTTGCTTCAAATCTACCACCAAAACTGCTTTGTGATTTTTTTTTCTTTTCTTTTGGCAACCTAGCCAAAAATTTGAAAATTTTGATTTCCCAAAAAAAAGAAAGGACGTATAACAGAGAAAAACCTATGTGTAGTTTATAATTTACTGTAACCAAATACTATTTCCCACAATATAATCTTATGTTTTTAAAGAAACCAGTATGTACAAAGTACCATGTAAACTAATATATTCCAGTGCGTTTTTAATTATTAGAAGAGGCAGAAATATGCAATAGTACTTTCAAGGTTTCTTTACATTCTTTGGTCAACTTCCTACTTAAGACAAAATAGCAATCTGAGCATCAAAGCAAGAAATGATTAAATACTTAAATAATCATTTGGCTCAATACTTTGTCTGAAATATATTCACAGAAAACAAGCTAAGATAAAACCATCCTTAGGAATAAGAAGGACTGACATGAAGCAAATTGACCAATTTGGCTTCTGATATATATAGGCTATTATGTGAGCACCTAAACAAAATCTCAACATTTCACATTTTGTAATAAGGAAGAATGTGTGTGTGTGTCAGAGTTAAAATGTTGGGTTCTTTGTGTTTTCTAAACTTGGTCTTCTTATTGCAGATATTTCATTATCAGTCTAGATAACATCATCAGAGCTAAGGCATGAAGTGAGTTTAGGGGCTGTTGATAATACTAAATATATTACCAGCTTCATGTTATGTGAGTATTGTTTTGTACCAATTGCTGCTATAATTGAGTCTATCTACTCTACTGCTAGCCATCCTCCTTTTCACTTTCCTTCTATTCTTTTCCAGCATTTTGGGCTTCATAAGAGATTAGGGTTTTTGCATAATGTGCTTTGAGAGACTAGGGTTTTTGCGTACAGTACTTTGAGCCTGGTCATTTGTGCCTCAAGTGAGAACTATGATCGTTTGTTTGTTTGTGCTCTCCAACATATTCTCTCCAACACCAAGAGTCAATAGTCTGTATGCTGCTGCTTCTAGTACTTACTTGATCTAAAATGTGTACAGTATTGGTGATGTTACCTAGCCTGGTAATGACATGTCTGAAGAAAAAAACCAAGTTCACAGTACACCAAAAATTCCAAATGTGCCTAGATAGCTCTGAAGAGTCCCCTCCTCCTGGCATATATATGCATATGTTACAAAATAAAGGAAAAATAAAAATGCTTCATTGAGAGCATTGCTTAATTCAAAATGATGGTCACGTTTATTCTGCAATAATGTTTTTCTTTTCATAAAAATGTTACTACAGGAAGTCCTCAAATTACAATGACAATTGGACCCAAATTTCTGTTGCTAAACAATATGGTCATAAAGCATGATCCCATTGCTTAGCAACAGCAGTCCCTGCACTCCCAACTGCTGTTGTTACGAAAGGTCTCTATGTCCTTAAGTGAGCCCCTCCTTGCAACCAAAATCAGTGAGGAAGTTGCATGTCTCAGGTGCTTTGTAGGCAGGCTATGGATTGCAAGTTGCTGTGGAGGCACAGACAGAGCATAGCAAGACTTGAGGGTGGCATAGGCAGACACAAGCACACCACTTGGGGCATCCAAAACTGCTCATACCACCACATTCTGCATCAGCTGCAATTCCCAGATACTCTTCAAGGGTAGCCCCATGTAGAGTACATTGCAATAGTCAATACAGGAGAAAAGCAGGGCTTGAGTGATGAAAAAAGGGCCTCTTGATCCAGAAAAGCGCATAAAACTATTACTGCCCACGGATAATGAAACATGTTCTAATTACCAAACCTAATTCTATGCATTAAGCAATTACTTAAAATAATTCATAATCTGTCCAAAGCAACATCAATATATTTGATTCTACATAAATTTCCCTTTTGTAGCTTGGCAAAGAATCATATTATTTGCAGACCTTGTGGGCCAAGTCTGAATAGCATATAATTCCCTTGGTCTATAACTCAAGATCAAAACAAGCAGATAAAGAATCGCATTTTAAATTTAAAATCATATATTATGAAATCAGGAATCAACAATCAAAATACAAAAACCTAATTCATTGGAACAGACATAATAAGTAACTATTTGAAAACAGGAAACAGGGCCATTTAACTATCTGGAAAAGGATAATATTCCAGAAGAATGAGGTAGTAATAATCTCTAATCAAGGAGGCACAAAGAAAGCCTACCTTATATCTTATCAGAAGAAGGCAGTCCCACATATATCTTTGTCCATGATGAATTTAAAATTGACAACCTGGACTTTAAAATGCACCTGGAAGTCAACTAATAGTAGTAGCCAGTGCTTCTCTCAAAGTAGAACTGCCACATGAGATACATCCATAACTACTTGAGTTGCTGCATTCTGGGCCAGACGTACTTCCAAATGCTTATATTCAGGGATTGGAATGGCTTTAACTAAATAGAGCAAACATGGAGCATTTCATTTATATTTGAATCCCACTTATCTACTTTAGAAAGTATTACTATACTTACTTGAGTTGTAGTACTTGGTCCTCCATCAAAGAAATAAGAGGGGAAATTACTATACCGGTACCTCCAGTGCACACAGGTGGAAACTGAAAGCATAGGCTCTTTCCATATCCTTAAAAGAAGAATACATTTTAAACATAAAACCAAAGAACATATCAGTTTTTCCTATACACAGCTTCCAAAGTTGCTATAAATGTGTGCGTGAGAGATTTGAGTTACTGGACTACAGGTAGTCCTCGACTTACAACAGTTTGTTTAGTGACCACTTGAAGTTACAACAGCACTGAAAAATGTGACTTATGACTATTTTTCCCACTTATGATCTTTGCAACGTTCCCATGGTCATGTGATCAAAATTTGGGTGGTGGCAACCGGATCATACTTATGATAGTTGCAGTGTCCCAGGGTCATGTGATCAGCTTTTGCGACTTTCTGACAAGCAAAGTTAATGGGGAAGTGAAATTCACTTAACAACTGTATTACTAACTTAACAACTGCAGTGATTCACTTAACAACTGCAGCAAGAAAAATAATAAAATGGGACAAAACTCACTTAACAAATTTCTCACTTAGTAACATAAATTTTGGGCTCAATTATGGTTGTAAGTCAAGGACTACCTGTACTAAAACCCTTTGCAAATGCTGAAAAAATGCAAGTTGCCTTTCAGATTTAAACTTTGCAGAAAAGAAAACCAAACAAGGTCAAGATTGGTATCCAACTTAATAATCAACCCATGAAAATGAGTAATGTAATTTGGAAAGACAGCATGTGTTATTCAAGCCAACATGCAGTCATGCATGTATACAACATAAACAATTATCCTCCCTTCTGAAGGGAATTTAACAGTGAGAAACAATAACAATAAGAATGCCTTGAATGGTACAACCTGTTCTTAGTACAAAAGTTGAATAATACTAATCCAAATATTCCCAAATATTCCCAAGTAAATAAAGAATTCTTAGGATATATGGGGTAGTATTTTTTAATTTTTTAAAATATTTTTTTGATTTTTTATGTATATTTGTTGGTTTTAACAGTCGCTTGGTCGATTATCGTTGTGAGCCGCCCTGAGTCTTACACTACACTAACTCCTTGGTTAGGCAGATATAGCAGGCATAAGAAATCTCCATCCTGCCATGTTGGCCCTCTAGCCCTTAAGATCTCACTTGAGACAAAAACCCAAATCTTCCAATATCACAACAGTATCACTTGCCAAACTACCTAGAACTTATCTTGGCTGTTCCATGCTTTGTCTGCAGTCAGAAGCCTGGAACATTTACGTGATAACACTTCAAATACCCACAAATTCTCTAACAAAGTAGAGTGTCTAGGGCAGTTAAAGATGTTCTATCCAGAGTAAAGAAAGAACTGGGAGAAGAAAGAAGTTCACAGAACTTTGTACCTTGGCAAGATCCTCTCATGCCCCAAAAGTACATTTCTTCCTATTAAAGTTTGTACAATGTTTATTTCTTATTGCAATTTCTTGTTTTTAGAAAGGCTAACTGAGTACTTTTATTTATTATTTATTTATTTTATTAAATTTATATGCCGCCCTTCTCCTGTAGGACGCAGGGCGGCGCACAGAATAAAAACATGTAACAATAAGAAATCCTAAAAACAGCCAATATAAAACCCCAAACAGAATAAAATCTTTTAGTGTGTATAAAGGGAGAGCGGTGAAGATCAGCCAATATTTCTTCAATATTAATCTACCACCAATCACAATTTATTACTCTGACTGTCTTTTATTTTTATTTTTTACTATTATTATTGATTTAATGCTTTTATTTGCTTGTCTTTGACCATAATAAAGATTGATTTTTTTCTGGCAATGAAAGGAACTTTATCTTATGCTTATGTTCCAAACCATTTTATTGTACCTAGCAGCATACACAATGAAAATATTCCTGCAGTTCCTTTTCTATGGGGAAAAACACCTGATACAACTACATCTGGTAACATTATCAGCAAATCACGTTTTATGAAGTTTTTAAGAAACATTTAAATAATATTCCAAGAGAAATCTATATAACTCACCAGTTGCCATAACAACTAGATTATCTTTTCTTTCTTGCAAAACTGAGGAGATCACTTTCCACTGGACCCTTGAAATTAAGAAAAAAAAAACTATAATAAAAATGTTCTATTTCAGCTGTAACACCTGACAAAAGCTGAATCACATAACAGGAGATTGCAAATAGAGATGCTTCTTTTAGCGATCTATTGTTGATTTCCTTTTCCACATACAGGTAATCCTCACTTACTGGCCTTTCGTTCAGTGACTGTTCAGTTACAATGGTGTTAAAAAAATAACACCATTGACTGTACCTCAGTCATGTAATCACCATTGCAGTCAGTATGTGTTGTTGTATGCCTGACCTGTTTTTTTCTCTCTCTTTCCCCTTGTAGAACAGAGAGATTGGAGAGAAAAGGATTGCAAGAAAGTAAGTGGTTTTCTCTTCTACACATCAAGAACAAAGCAATCAGGCCAGCATCATGTTACACAAAGACCTTACAGAACTCTCTTGAAATCTAAAAGAAGTCTGTGAAAGCTTTTGAAATCTCCACATAGTGGAGAGATTGGAAAAAAGTTTTAAAACAGTACTTTTGTAGAGCGCCTGTGGCTCCCAGCCCCGAGCTGCAGTGTGATCACATTGCTTCAATGGGTACAAGATAATAAGCAGGCACTTGAGCATTCCAAAGGGCTGGAAGTGGTCAGGAAGCAAACAAAGATCAAAAGTGTGAAACTGAATACTCTTGTCTGTTTCCAGCAGGAAAGCACTGTCGGGTCATGTGCTAAGTGATTTCCCACTTAGTGACTGCTTTGCTTAGCAGTTCCAATTAAGTGAGGACTACTGTATATATTCTAAATATGAATATATTTTCTTTTATGCCATGCAATTTATACATCTGCTGAAGACTCAACATCTTTGAGGCAAAATCCCCATACATTTTATTTAGAAGAAAGACATGTTTATTATTTTCTCTTTAAAATGAGAAGTGCATCTTAAATAAACTGAGAATAAACTAAGAAAGGAGGCAGATACAATTTTCTAGTTTTTCTTTATGAAAGAGATTATCTTAAATTCACAGTTTTCTTCTTTTTGGAACAGTCTTTTAGCCTATTTTTTTTTTAAAAAAACAATACAACTTACAGTTTAAAACTTGAGTGACCAAAATACTTCTTGAGACAAGCAATTTGTTTACTGCTGGGTTTAGGTAAGTTGGAATCTTTGGAGAAAACAACAAAAATATTGAGATAGAAAAAATACACACACAAAAAAAAAGATAGCTATAAAAAACAATTCATGTAATTGATTTTTTAAGATTTAAATTTTAAAAACTTAACTGCTAATTTTTTAAATGTTATGTGTACTAAAATACTAGCAAAGTGTAGCTTCCTATCACAGGGATATTATTTAAGAATACTAGATACTTATAATGCAAGAATATAAAATTTAAAATTTTTAAATTCTTTCCTCAGAAAGTCAACATACATGCTTAATTTTCCCACTGAGAACATGAAATTTTAAACTGGTTTAACTTGAATGCATCAAGCCCATAACTTGCTTAAAAAATTATGAGCAAGCTCAGATCTGAAGAAGCTTCTTGGATGAGAAGAATAGAATAGAATAGAATTCTTTATTGGCCAAGTGTGATTGGACACACAAGGAATTTGTCTTGGTGCATATGCTCTCAGTGAACATAAAAGAAAAGATACATTCGTCAAGAATCATAAGGTATGACACTTAATGATAGTCATAGGGTACAAATAAGCAATCAAATCATATTAGGAAACAGTCAATATAAATCATAAGGATACCAGCAACAAGGTTACAGTCATACAGTCATAAGTGGGAGGAGATGGGTGATAGGAACGATGAGAAGTTTAATAGTAGTGCAGACTTAGTAAATAGTTTGACAGTGTTGAGGGAATTATTTGTTTAGCAGAGTGATGGCGTTCGGGAAAAAACGAAAAAAGCGAAAGGTCTTCAAAGAAAAAACAGAAAGTCCAGTTGTCTCTTGAAAAAAAGCACCTTTGCGACATACTTGAGAGGATCTTTAAAGATATACTTATTCATCTGTACCCATATATGTGAACATAAAAGTACACTCTAATGTGCTGATATGGAAATTTGGATCACAATTTAATATTTACCCCAACTTTCCTCTTCCTCCTCAATGCCCTCTTCTCCTTCATCCTCGGCAACATGGTCACTTTGCTTCTCTAAACTCCCCTGGTTAGAATTCAACTTGCTCTTGTCTGTGTCTTCTAAAGATTGGAGCTGAGAAAATAAGTTAACATACTTTGCATCTTCTAATCTAAAAGAATCAGGGCTAGACAAAAGTTCTTTTTATTTTTAATACAAAGAGATCTTAACTACATTAGCCATTCAAGATAAGGTTACTTTATGAATATAATTTGTGAAGATCTAATAGCTCCCATAGGTTTTCCATATTACTGTTAAAAGCATGGAAGAGTGAGCGGCAAAGCTACACATTAATCCCTCTTGATTGAAAGGCATATGTCAGGCATTTATTAAAAACAGTATTAATACCTATTTTTATTAAATCTCATGAACAGTGTTAGCTTATTATAACTAGTCCAGTTTTTATTTCTAACATGCAAGTCTGCTCCCCAGCTTTTTTCCTCTCGGGCCTTCTCTGCTGTGGCCCCTGCCTTATGGAACATTCTATCTTCCGAAGCGAGGTCAGCTCCATCCCTTCAATAAACAAACCCCTTAACACCTGATTAGGATGCTTTCATTGTTGTTAATATCAATTCTCTCCTGTGCTGATGGCTTATATTTTTTAATAATGACTTTTATATTTTAATAATGATTGTTTATACATATTTACATATGGCATGGGACCAGGTTACCTGAGAAATGGGATTGGCCCACCCCTCTCATGCTAGCAGATGGGGCATGCCGCAGACTGCATCAGACAAGGAATTCAAGAGCCTTTTCTGCTGTGGTTCCCACCCTCTGGAACACTTTTGGCCTTCTGGAAGGGCTTGAAAACCTGGTTCTGCTAATTGGCCTGATGGGGGCAGGTCATGCCAGAGGTAGTTAATGGACTAAGATAATTCTCCACCTCCATCCTGTGAGCATTTTCCCTCCCTTTCCAACTTTGATTATTTTTAATCTATGTTAATATTAATATTTATTATTTTAATTTTCTTGTGTTTACTTGGTTGTAAGGTGCCTATAAGAGATAGATGCCATGTAACTTTAATACAAAATAAATAAAATTCATTTTTTTATTTCATTGTTGTATGCCACCCAGAGTCATTTTTGTGAGCTTGCTGACTATACAAATTTGATAAATAAATAAATAAATAAATAGCAAGAAGGAAGGAAGGAAGGAAGGAAGGAAGGAAGGAAGGAAGGAAGGAAGTTACCTTAAGCATTTCCATTTCAAGTTCATAATCACTTTCCATGGTGGCACCATGATCATCTTCTATAGGTTGTAAATTCTAAACAGAACAGTTCAAATTGTTTTTTTCTTTCGTTTTAATTCCAATGCTCTGTTCCTTAGCTTTTCAGTGGAAAAAAACTAACAAGTAATCTGAGTTTACCTTCTAACCTATATAAACTATTAACATTTCTATGCATAATAAAAATGTATAAAATGTATAAAACTACATTAATATTTGTGGGCCAAGAAAGTTTCTGCTTTGCAGATGAGCAATTTAAAAAACATAGGATTACAAAGCCCATCTGATCCTACCACAACATTCTTAGGATAAGAGAAACAACTTGTTTCTTCATTGTTGGAACAAACTGACTTTCTCTAGACTTTATATCAATGTCATTTGGCAATCCTAACATACAATATTTTCTTAGCTGTTATATCACAGCCAAATCTGGAAAAAGACCAGATGGCTGATCAATTAAACATCACATCTTTTCTCAAAAGGCAATTACCTATATTTACCTCAGGCATACCAGCTGCTTCAAGTCGCATTTCTTCCTCAGCCTGACGTTCCATCATTTGAAGTTCATATTCAGTTATGTCTAGTGACATTGAGAATTCATTTTCTGTAGATTTTTTAAAGATTGTGTCTGAAGCATCCACTGTATGATCTTTCTTACCAAGTTCTTCTTCATTTTTTATATGGGGGTTTTGAACACCAGCTGTTTTGTCGTCAATATTACGATCTGACTTACAAATGATCTTGGAAGTCAATTTAGATACTCCATCGGCAGCCTCTTCCAGCTCCATTTGGCAATTAGATTTAATAAGTAAAATGTCCCTTAGAGCTTTAATATTTTTTGAAATATCAGCCAATATTTCTGTTGCACTATGGAAAAAATATGAAATAGGTTTTTTTATCTACACCCCAACTTTCTACTTATACAAATACTCAAGATGGCTTACAACACTCAAAAGAATACAAGTTAAAAATTAAAATTAATGGAATTAAAGCTCAAATAATGATAATTTGATGAACAAGGTATGTATTTATAATAACTTCTTTTTGTCTTTTCTAAACCACTGTCCAATTGACTTCATTGGATGACCTCTAGTTCATCCATCCTTTTAAAAGGAAAAAAAACTTTCCCATCCACTTTCTCCATTCAATACATGATACTATACTGTACATTCATATCCATTAGGTTGTCTTTTCTAAGCAGAGGCTCAAAGCTCTTCACATTTTCTGATCACATTTATTTTGCTCTTTCATTTTTCCAATTCGATTATGTTCTTTTTCAACCCAGAATTGAACTCTGTATTTTAGATATAGACATACACACAGATTTGTATAAGAATATTATAACATTGGAGTTTTCATCTCAACACATTTCCTAATTATTCCTAACGCAAAATTGTCTTTTTCACAGATACCATAATCCAAGTTGTTATTTCCACTGAACCCAAGATCCCGCTTTTGGGTAGTTTCAGATGGTTCAGTTCTCACCAGTGTATATGTGAAATTGGGGCAGGAGTTGTCTTAATATGCATCTTCATTCTTACTTAAACTGAACACCAATTATTTGTTTGTTCATTCACCCAGTTTAAAACAATAATTTAAATTTTTTATCCCAGAAGATTTGGTGAAAACCTTTATATTTATTTATTTTATTTATTTATTTTATTAAACTTGTATGCCGCCCTCTCTCCCAAAGGACTCAGGGCGGCTCACAACAATAGAAAAAACACATAAAATTCAGTATTCAAATATAAAAACCAATAAAATCTCCTTTAAAAAACCCCTTCAGTCCAATTCGACCAGGCCAAATAACCATGTTTTGAGGTCACGGCGGAAAGAGCGAAGGTCAGGGGCCATCCGGAACCCCAGGGGGAGTTGATTCCACAGAGAAGGCCCGCTCCCTGGGAGTCGCCAGCTGACACTATCTGGCTGACGGGACCCCAAGGAGGCCCTCCCTGTGAGAGCGCACCGGGCGATGGGGAGCTGTTGCTGGCTGCAGATGGTCCGCCAGGTACCCTGGGCCTAAGCCATGTAGGGCTTTATAGGTAATTACCAGCACCTTGAATCTCATCCGGAGGGCAACCGGTAGCCAATGCAGGTCCCGCAGGAGAGGTGTAACATGAGAATGTCGGGACACTCCCATCACTACCCACGCAGCTGCATTCTGCACCAGCTGAAGCCTCCGGGTGGTCTTCAAGGGCAGCCCCATGTAGAGAGCATTGCAGTAGTCGATCCAGGAGGTGATGAGCGCATGAGTGACTGTGCGCAGGTCATCACGGTCCAGGTAGGGGCGCAACTGGAGCACCAGACGAATCTGAGCAAATGCCCCCCTGGTCACGGTCGTAACATGGTCGTCCAGAGTTAACTGTGAATCCAGGAGGACGCCTAGATTGCACGCCCTTTCTACAGGGGGCAACACCTCACCCCCTATAGCCAACAATGGAATATTTTCCTGGAACCGCGATGCCGGTATCCACAGCCACTCTGTCTTGGCAGGGTTGAGCTGAAGCCTGTTCCTCCCCAACCAGAGCCACACCGCTTCCAGGCACCGGGACATCACGTCGAGGGCATCACTGGGCTGATTCGTGGTGGATATAAAAAGTTGGGTATCATCAGCATACTGATGATACCCCACCCCGAAACCCCGGATGATCTCCCCCAGTGGCTTCATATAGATGTTGAACAGAAGGGGAGGACCGACCCCTGAGGGACCCCACACGAGGGGCCTCGGGGCCAACCTCTGTCCCCCCCCCAACACCGCTTGCGAACGCCCAGAGAGGTAGGAGGAGAACCACCGTAAAACAGTGCCTCCCACTCCCAACCCCTCAAGGCGCCGCAGCAGGATACCATGGTTGATGGTATCAAAAGCCGCCGAGAGATCTAATAGGACCAGGACAGAGGAATAACCCTTGTCCCGAGCCCTCCAGAGATCATCCACCAGCTGGATCCAGGCTAGGCTTCTTGAGGAGGGGTCTCACCACCGCCTCCTTCAAGGCGGCCGGGAAATTCACCTCACCCAAAGAGGCAGTTATCACTGCCTGGATCCAGCCACGTGTGACCTCCTGAGCCGAATAAACGAGCCAGGAGGGACACGGGTCCAGCACACATGTGATGGTACTCAGCTTCCCCATGATCCTGTCCACTTCCTCGGGAATAACAGGATCAAACTCATCCCAAATCAGGTCTGTAACCATCTCCACCTCAGTCACTTTGGTTCAAGAGAATGGACTTGCTCACTGAAAGTCAAGAGTTCATACTATTACTTCACTCACCTCAATCTTAGTCTTTAAAGCAAGAGATCACATTAACTCCTATTTTTGTTTACTTTGTTTGCTGGTCTCTGTTGTAACCCCAAATCAGAAAGCAAGCAAATGGACCAAATCTTCACAAACTGACTACTTCCCTCAAATAAATACCACTGTTCCCATTCACTCCAGTTTCAACTAATTGTAAAAGAGTACAAACTGCAGGACTAGGAGTTTAAGAGAATTGGGTGGCTGGAAGTACAATAGAATATAGTATGAAACAAGGCTTATACATTTATTTATTATTTCTATAGCCGCCCATATCACTGGGTAACTTTAGGTGGCTTACAATTCTAAAACAATACTGTAAAATATTTCAAACTAATAAAACAGTACAAATTAGATATACAGCAGACAAAGTAATTATTCAATTTAACAGTAAAACTAAGAGGTGGGGGCCCTTAACATATTCAGAGCCCCAGCCTCAAGTAAAGTTCCTGTCCAAGCAAAGGAGTCACTACAAACATGGAAACTCTGTACACTATTCTTTCAGTTATACCCACTGAAATAATAGTTCTTTTACTGCAAGAATCTACTGAATTAAATATTCATATTGATTTAAACCAATAGATTAAAATAAACAGTATCTTACCTTTGAATATGTATAGATTGGTGAAAAGTAGCAGGAACACAATGAGCCAAATCTAGCACCTCCTTGGACAAAGATGTCAATTCATTTTTAATTTCATTCGGCAGCAACTTTCCATCTGTTTAAAAAAGGCAGAAATTTTATTAACTACTATGTCATCTGGGTTTTAAATATTGAAAAGGCACTTATAATTAAGGAATTAAATCAGTCCACTTGTCTTTAAATTTTGATCTGACTCCCTAAATTCAAGTTAATTAATGGATTGCTAAATGGGATTATACAACCTTTGGATTTTTAGGGAGGGATTTCTATCATGTTTTCTGCAGATGCTAATTACCTTTGAACTCTATTCACCAACATCTGCTCTGTTTATTCATTAGTACAGTCATAATGAGAGCCAGTTTGATATAGTGGTTAAGGCATCAGGCTAGAAACCAGGAGACTGAGTTCTAGGCCCACCACAGGCAGGAAGCCAGTTGGCTGACCTTTGGCTAGTCACTTTCTCTCAAGACTAAGAAGGAAGCAATGGCAAATCACATCTACAAAATCTTGCCAAGAAAACTGCAGGGACTTGTCCAGGCAGTCTTTGAGAATTGGATACGATTGAATGGAAGACAAAAATAAAATAGTCATAATAACCTCTGTGATGGATTACTGCATTACTCAGAAAACCCAGTTAGCCAGGATCATATAAAACAAGATGCAAAACACCATGTTATCCACTGAACTCCAAATTTAAAAATGTATGTGGTCCCAAAGTCACAAGAGGATCACGTCTTGAAAGATTTATGCATTCTCATATGCCTGTAACATTTTTGCCATACTTTAATTTTCAAAAAGTTTATTTTTGTCATCTGAATCAATTCATGATAGGATGAAGGGTTATGGTTGTGGACTGTAATCTACCCTATCTAGAGCTGAGAAAGAATGACTGATCCAATATTAACTAGCCAATTTCTAATGCTTAAGAGAGGGAAAGAATCTGAATTTCTCCACTCCTAGTTCAGCACAATAATGTGCTGAATAACCTACATAATGTGGCCTTCAATAGTGTGTGCATATAAAAAACTGATTTGTGTATGTGTACATGCGTGTATGCCTCCACCCCCATAGTACTGTGAAATTGTGCCTCCTGTATGAAAAAGTTGCTGTTCTCTGATTTAGCTCACCTGTTTTTAAACAAATATGCATCTGCTTATCATTACTCAAATTTATTAGGTTTTGGTAAATAAGGAAGCCCACCTATAAAAACAAGAAAAGAAAAAGAATAGTTTTTAATGTAGAGGCAATAAGAACACCCTCCTTTCAACTTAAAAAAATTAAGGCAATCTTTTCTAATCTCAGATGTGCTGTGACCTGAGTTCCCAAATTCCCAACAAAAATGGCTGAAATCTGGGAGCTATGGTCCCAACATTTAGGCAGTGTACCAAACTGGGGAATCTGAGGTCATCAATCCTGATTATTTAGAAGGAAGACAACACATCCTCAAAGTTATAAACACAGGAAAAAAAACATGTACCTATACACAGCAGAGAATCAGCATAAAATGGCACAAACATGGGCTTTCTAGGAAAGGCATGACCAACTAGCAAAAAGCAGAGCCAACGACTACTGCAAAGACCAAGGAACCGGTGAAGAGACTGGTACCTTGGAACCTCTCTGGTTAAGAAGAGGATGGGAGATCTACCTACATGTGCTCGGGACAGCTGCTTCTCATGGGTTTAAGAAGGTGACACCAGACGATGACAAGACTACCCATCTTGCCAGCAACCATGGCAAAGACTTTTAAAGGACAAACCTCACTTTCTAAACAGTTCTGGAAATTGCTCATTAACTACTAAAATATTAGTGCAACAATTTTGACTTTGGAGCAACAATTTTGACAACACGAGGCGAGTCTGCCTTCAGTCCTGAATGAAAGAAAATTTTAATCATAAAAATTTAAAGAATTTGAAGTAAAGAACAAGAAACTAAATAAGTTTTTAAACTTAGAAAGCTATGGCATTTTGTCTAATAGAACAGTGACATTTTGTCTAATGGAAATTAAATTAGCCATTGCCTATATATATATCACATTCTACCTTCGTTCATGTGTTATAATTAAACCCCATTTGATCCAAAATAAGCAAGCCTGGACCTTAAACCATTTGCTTAAAACCCCAGGTTTTTCTTGTTCTGGTAACTATACATTACTGGTTCAAACAGATTCTGCAATTATTTGCCTAGTAAATATGGAAAACTAAGCAGATTATACATATAATCAAAGGCCTTTTTCCATATCTTAGTTTATATTGCTTAACACATTGTAAGCCGCCCTGAGTCTCCGGAGAAGGGCGGCATATAAATCAAATTTTAAAAAATAATAATAATAACATTGAGATGTAATAAAGTAAGTAGGCCAAAGCAAGGTTTTCAAATTTAATGTAACCTAGAAAAATACAAGCTGCTTTGTACATACATATGCATCTGTAGCTGCATACAGCTTTTGCTCCTCAGTTAATGGAAAGCATTCCCAGTTACCACAGCGGACCAATTTGTCTTTCACAAGCTGTTTGTGGAATAGGTGTTTGACAAGGCCATTTAAACTCCATATCTCCTTACATTTTAGCTAAAAATGAGATTGCAACAGTAAAGCATAAATTACTTCTGAAATATAGTAATACTGACCCATTTCTAATAAAACTGACAAAATAAGACAATTTTATTGGTAAATGTAAGTCTATATTCAGAGCACACAATAAGTCTTTAAGCCATTTTTATTCTGCTAAATGGTTACAGTAACAGCTTCCATAATAAGGTTGGCACCAAGAAATCCATTAGTAGTACTAAACAAAGGTCCACTGATATGTGACATACCTCTAAATTCGGTAACATACAGTATAAATGTAACTTTCAAAAAACAATCATGTTGAAAACCTAAATCTAGGCACATCTTTTTTGAGATTTAATTTGGTGGAACATACAAGACACTTGCTACAAATTCAAATTATCTTACCATTCAAAATTCATAAAACATATTATAGAAATAAAAAATAAGGAATGCAATATTCAGTTTGAAAATTAATCAATGTTGTGTGCCGGAGTAAATCCAGGGAATCTTACCATGGGATATTTAGTTCCCTATTCTCTTATATTACTACCATTTTGCAGTGTATTTTTCTGATTAACAAGCATTTGCTGTCTTGTGTAACTGACTAGCTATTTTGCATTGTCCTCATACTCAAGTTTCTAGAATCCAGACATTCAAGTTTCTGGATTCTGTAATCTCCCAGGATTTGAAATGGAACCTAACATTAGAACCATCATGAAAAAAGCACAATAAAGAATGTCCAGGACAGGTTACAGACTTCAATGGATAGTTAGGACTGCAGAGAAAAAACAACTCAATCAGCCTTGCCTTCCATTGAGGACCTGTATACTGCATCAGTCAGAAAGAGGGCTGAGAAAATATCTACCAACCCCTCACATTCTGGACATAAAACTATTTCAACTCCTCCCCTCGGACGCTTGCTTGCTTGTTTGTTTGTTTGTTTGTTTATTATTTATTATTTATTTATTTATTTATTTATTTATTTATTTTTAAATTTGTATACCGCCCTTCTTCCTGAGGACTCAGGGCGGTGAACAGCCAAGTAAAAACATAAACTACAAACATTAAAATACAATTAAAAAGATATTTATAAATTTGGCCACATGATTAAAAACAATAACAATTAAAAACATTTTAAAAAGTGTTAGGCCAGCCCGCCTTGCTGGAAAAAGAAGGTTTTAAGGACACGGCGGAAGGCACCGAGGTCTTGGATTCTCTTTATCTCTGGGGGCAGCTGATTCCAGAGGGTAGGTGCCCCCACAGAGAAGGCCCTTCCCCCTGGGGGTCACCAGCCTACATTGTTTGGCTGATGGCACTCCGAGGAGGCCCTCTCTCTGGGAGCGCACAGGTTGATGGGAGGCCGTCGGTAGCAGCAGGCGATCTCGAAGATAACTAGGTCCTATGCCATGGAGCGCTTTAAAGGTGATAACCAACACCTTGAAGCGCACCCGGAAGACCACTGGGAGCCAGTGCAGCTCACGCAGGAGAGGTGTTACATGGGAACGCCATGCGGCTCCCGTGACTACCCGCACGGCCGTATTCTGGACCAGTTGGAGCCTCCGGGTACTCTTCAAGGGGAGCCCCATGTAGAGAGCGTTGCAGTAGTCCAGACGAGAGGTGACGAGGGCATGAGTGACTGTGCACAGGGAATCCCGATCAAGAAAGGGCCGTAACTGGAGAATCAGGCGAACCTGACAGAAGGTCCCCCTGGCTACAGCCGTCAGATGTTCCTCCAAGGACAGCTGCGTATCCAGGAGGACTCCCAGATTGCGCGCCCTCTCCGCGGGGGCCAAAGACTCGCCCCCAATAGTCAGTGATGGAGTCAACTGACTATATCAGGATGCCGGGAACCACAGCCACTCAGTCTTAGAAGGGTTGAGCTGGAGCCTGTTCCTCCCCATCCAGATCCTCACAGCCTCCAGGCACTGGGACATCACTTCAAGGGCATCGTTGGAGTGGCCTGGGGTGGAGATGTACAGCTGGGTGTCATCAGCGTACTGATGGTACTTCACCCCAAAGCCACGGATGATCTCGCCCAGCGGCTTCACATAAATGTTGAACAGAAGGGGCGAGAGGACCGACCCCTGAGGCACTCCACATATAAGAGGCCTCGGCGTCGACCTATAGGACCTATACTATAGGGCAGTGATAGCTAACCTTTTTGCCATCGCGTGCCAGGAGAGGGGGGGCGGGGGAGGGTCGCGCGCGCACATGCCCACGCGCATCTGTGCGCAACCCCCTCCCCCCTCCGCTCCTGGCACATGATGGCCTGGTAAGCCCGTTTTTCTTTCTTACCTGGTTCCAGATCCTCTCTGTGTATCTGGGAACGGCGAAAACAGCCTTTCCCACTCCCTTGGAGGCCCTACGGAGGCTGAAAGGGCCCATTTCCCAACTCCCGGTGGGACAGGAAGTGACATTTTTTGCTGTCCCCAGCCTCCAGAACCTCTCTAGGAGTCTCTAGGAGCCTCTCTAGGAGTTTGTAGGAGCCTCTCTAGGAGTCTCTGGAGGCTGGGGACAAGAAAAAACGTCACTTCCTGTCCTACCGGGAGTGGGGAAATGGGCCCTTTCAGCCTCCGTAGGGCCTCCAAAGGAGTGGGAAAGGCTGCTTTCGCCGTTCCCAGATACACAGAGAGGATCTGGAGCCAGGTAAGAAAGAAAAACGGGCCTTTCCCACCCCGCCCCCAGGCCCTCCAGAGGCAGGAAACAGCCTGTGCCCACCTACTTCTGGTGGGCCCAGAAGGCCCGAAAATCAGTTGGCCGGCGCACGCATGCGCCCCAGAGCTGAGCTGGCGTGCCCACTAATATGGCTCCGCGTGCCACCTGTTGCACGCGCCATAGGTTCGCCATCACGGCTATAGGGCATTGCATGCCAACAACTAGACACAGAGACAGCTTTTTCTCCTTTGCCACCATTCTGCTGAACACCTAATTCCCACAGCACTGTCTATGGATATATATCCATATAGTAGGGCTGTATTACAATTATTCTACTCATCTTTATTGCTACCTTCTCCTATAGGTAACTTATGACTATATTACTTTGTTATTTGTATGTACACTGACAGCTTATGCACTGGAGAGAAATTCCTTATGTGTACAATCACACTTGGTCAATTATTCTATTTCTGTTATTTTTATTTCTATTCTTCTAATTACCTTTTCATTAGCAAGGTCACCCAAATCCACAAGATTCTCCAGTTTGATTTCAAAATCTCGCATCAGCTTCCATTTATCCCCTTCAATACCAACTCCAGCTTTTCTAATAGTGTTATTTTCAAGCAACCTTTTCAGTCCCACAGGAAAACCTGAAGGGGATAAAATATGAGCACAAAATTTATTTATATACTGAATCTGGGCCTACTCCATATAATAAAAGGCTGCTTAGCAATTTAGAATCAAAATGGGAGAATCTTACAGCTTCTAGGGTAATTTTATATCGATCCTATTACTCAAGACTTTATAGCCCTAACCCACTCTTTCTCTCTGGAATCTGCTTTCTCTTCTGCTTTATTTAAGAATACATGTGATGCTTGTAAACAACTACTCATTCAGTATTTATTCATGTGCTAATAAGTGGTAGTTAGGTCTGGACCTGAAGAGTTCTGGCCCTCACAATTTTCTTGTTCAGGAAAAGTAGTAAAACTTGATGGGAACAAGGCACAATAGTAAGACTATTTTCAAGCATATGGACATATAACTAGCTATCACATCTGTTGAATTCTAAAATTAAATAAAACCAAGGCAGGATATTGCTTGCTATAAAATAAATTCCAAAGTCAGATTTCCCTCCACTGTTTCTCTATGCCCTAGAAGCCTTCCAGGTTCAAGTGGTGGTAATGGCAGAAACCTTGAGTTGAGAAGGCAATATTTGTAGTCTGGCATGTTAAAAGCTTCTTCTGGGTTTCTTTAGCATTACTCTACTTAGGCCACTTCATATGCCCCTAAATGATTCAATTTCTTTGGGGAAGGGATAATTGACTCCATATTTTTTCAAACACCATGGGGACAATGTTCCTATATACTGTAGATACAGCAGAAAACAGCTGAGCTGAACATGTTTAAATTTTGTTTAAACACATTCAGCGCTTTGGGGGACAAATTTGAACAATGAAGGTTCAAGATTCTTTTTCATAAATATACAGCAGTATACTTCCAGGTCAATGAATCTGCAAATTAACATTATTTTTAGTTATTAATCCAATTTATATGGCTACTCATTTATCCACGAAAACTAGGTGGTTGATAAAAGGTGGGGGGGGGGATCCCATTAAAACAAAACTGACACAAAATAGATCAAGGCCAATAAAATCTGCATTACCAAGAAATGTTGTGTCTGATCTCCCATCACTAACATTACAGCCCCAATTGCTGGGGGAATGCCCTTCACATTCTCTCAAAGGACCAACAGAACTAGTGTGCCTGGTTCTCACCAGTGGGGAGGGGAAGCTGTGACAAAGGGCAGGGACTATGTCAGAGAAGGCATGCTTCTGGAGGTATTGTTTCCCCAAGGGAACCCAGTGCATGCCTATCCCAGCAGAACTGAAGGGACAGGATGAAACTACCAGAAAAAGGTGATTTCACAAGAAGCCTGATTCAGTGCCACCATGCAGGGCTTTAACTGTGACAACCAGTACCTTTATTATTTATTTATTAAATTTGTTTATTTATTAAATTTGTTTGCCGCCCATCTTGCCACAAGGCAACTCCAAACAGCTTACATTAAAAGCAATAAAACCACAAACAATAAAGATTTCTAATAACAATAAAATGTTAATTATAATTAAAAGATGGAGAGGGATGGAGCAGGATGCACAGGAGGGAAGGTGGGATTTTTCTATTGGTCCACCAACCATTTCCAGTGTGAAATTCCCCCGTTGGGGTGCCAATCCATCTGTCAGAGCCAGGTCTTCAGGCCCTTAAGGAAGGTCAGGAGAGTAGGAATGGATCTCACCCCAGAGGGCAGGATTTTCCAAAGGGCAGGAGCAACAGCAAAGAAGGTTTTTCTCCTGGATCCCGCCAGCTGGAATTTCTTGACCAATAGGGTCCAGAGCATGCATGCTCTGCCAGCACAAACGGGGTGGGCCAGCCCCATTGTGGTGAGACAGTTCCTCAGGTAACATGGATCTATGCCATGCTGGGCTTTAAAGATGATAACTAATACTTTGAATTGCACGTAGAAGCAAACTGGCAACCAATATGGGCCACTCTAGGGGTCCCAAAGACTTCCCAAGCCCCCACATTCTACATCAGTTGTAGAGCTTCCAAAAGCTTTTTTTTCATGCTGAACAGAACACAATAACTCTTCAAGTGTAGCCCACATATACAGCACATTGCAGTGTCGAGGCATGAAATGACCAGGACTTGAGTGACTGAGCACAGAGACTCCTGAGCCATTATATAATAAACATTTGAAAACAAAAGCAAATTAACTGAGAATTTATGCAAAAAAAGACATCCTAATATTGATCATGCTTAGAGATCAAATAAAATAGTACTGACTTGTCATAGAAGAGATGTGAAATAAGTAGCACTTGGTTTCAGACTCGCATAACTGGACTAAGGCAACTTTTCCTTCCTTCCCTTTAGCATAAATGGCTGGCCATTCAATGTCAAATCCTAACACAGCTCCAACAGGCAAGGTATTGCTGCAAGATATAAGTGTATCTGAGGCATAGTAATATATTAATGACACAACACAAAGAATGGCTTCTTACAAACCATCACTGTCAAATGAGAAACTAAATTCAAAAACATGCATTCCCTTCCTTTTTCTCCTTTTGAACAAAAATGTTCTCTCTCCCTCTTTCTTTTCTTCCACTATCATTTAAAATTACATTATCACCTTCAATTAATTCTGATGAAATAATCAAGATTAAGAAAAATAAGTCAAAGAGGGACTAGACAGTAAAACAAGGAAAAGGAAAATACATGTGATTAAGACTGGATTCCAATTTGCAAATAATAATTTTTACATGTATACCACCAGAATACATCAGAAATTATTAAAGAGCAATAAGTAGAAATATGAAGTTCTATTGATTATATATCAGGCCACATGCAGCCCTAGCTAGTAATGTGGCTTCACAAGATTGTAAACTTTTAACATTATTTATACATACATACATGTTTCCGTGTGAGTGTGTGTGCGCGCACACACACAGATATCTTTTATATGCGGCCCAAGACAATTCCTCTTCACTCACTGTGGCCCAAGCAAGCTGAAAGGTTGGACACGCCTGGCCTATATGTTTGTGGAGAGGCATATATGTTGTTTGTGGGATTTGGGGAGGCTGTTACGATTTTTATGCAGGAAGTTAAATATATGCATGAGTATGTTTCTCTGACCATCCCTTCTGTTTTATTTTAAATCTCTTTTATCAAATGAATATCTTAAATTTGCTGTGAGGAGGGGTATATGATTTGGAATTTATTCTATGTATTTAGAATAAATTCTCACTTCTGCTTTATATTTAGGGTAAAGTTGGATATAGAAAAAAGATCATGGTTGCAATGAATTAAGAATTTCTGAAAAAAGCAGTCTCTGGGGAATTTTTTTTAAAACTGCTATAGATTTACTCTCTGTAGAATGGTGTATAAAAACAAACTAGAGATAAACTAGAATTCCATATTAGGAGGCAATAAGTCCTGGTGAAAATAAAACAAAATGTATAAACTAATATCCAACTATGTTTTCAAATTATACTCTGATGCTAAAATATGGTTTATTTTTTGAGATCCAGCTTCAAATAAAGTATAATTAAACAAAACAAATCCTGATATGGTATTCTGGCCTGGGTCATATGGAATATCAAACAAGTCAGAATGGAGACCTTACAACCATATTTAAGAACAAATCTACTAAATTTGACCAAGATTCTGCAAATTGTAAAGTTTTTTTTAAAAAAACAAACAGGTCCTGACAATTATGTATGAATATAGACAAATGATTTGCTTTTAAATAAACTTGCAAAATCTTGGGCTGTAAGATTAATTTAACAATTTGATCTAATCCATGCAATGCCTGGGGCACCAGTGCACCAGCCTGGAGTTTGATCTTGATGAGATGACTCTGCCTTTCATCCTTCCAAGGTTGGTAAAATGAGAACCCAGATTGTTGAGGGTGATATACTGACATTGTAAACAGCCAAAAGAGTGCTGAAAAGCACCATGGGGAGGTAATAAGTCTAAGTGCAATTGCTATACTAAGTCATTTTGTGATTAGGTTTAGCATGTTGTTCAAAGACCAGTACAGACAACCTTAGCAACAAATATTTGAAGAACTGCCTCTTTCCAATTACATCTACCACCAAAGGAAGAAAACAGGGTATGTTGTAGGTCCCATCTATCAGAGAAGTATATCTACTGGGATAATGTTGCTGCCAGGAGAGCATGGGATGGGGGTTTATGGGTTTCTGACTGTGGATTTTAAATTTTAACTCAAAGTGAGTTAGGCAGCCATATAAATTTGTTTAATAAATAATTAACCATAATCACAGTTTGTTTTTAGTTCACAAATTGTACTTATAGCTATATGTTTTGTCTGGACTGGGCAGGGTCAACAATATACTGCTGATCCCATTCTGCTGACAAGTTACAAATAGTTCACTTCTCCTTCCAATCTTCTAATATAAACCTGGTGGATAATAACATCCTGAGGACATAAATAGATATAAATAATATAAATGGACTGATTACTATGAAAATGCTATGAATAATGATAATGATAATAATCAAATAAAATACACATATACTGTAGATACAACTGGAATATACATTATTTTGAAAGATCACACTAAAAAAAGGAAAAATGCAAGTTTTCATTATCTTACAGAATATCTTCCGAGATCAAGGAACAATCCGCAGCATTATAGCTGTAGATGATAGAGCCGTTGTATTCTAAGAATGGAAGGTTATCTTCCAGGACACTTGGTTGGAATGAATTCTTCTGCTTCATAAAAATGTGAAAGACAACTTGGTTTATAATTTGAACACTATGTAATGACTTGCTAATATTACCATACATCATAATATATTAGTCCTTTCCAACTTAGTAGAAAAATACCAACTTGATTGTTAAATTACTGGTAGCCGAGTGAGAATTGATTTGAGAGCAATTTTAATATACAAAAAAGATACAAATTTATTTTTAAAGCATATTTGCATTTTGGATACTGTTTACACAGATTAGGAGTTTAACAAATAGAATGGATCCACACACGTTCTACCAAGAGAAACTTCTTTCTCAATTGCCATATTTATTAGAAACTGAAAAACACTGTTAAAATGTAGCTAATAAAATCTATCTTGTCTAAAAAAGAAATTACTTGATCAAATGCCCTATAAGGACAGTTTAAAAATCAATCTGAATACATAATGTTTAAAACCTCCCTACAAAAATTAGTAACCCAATTATAAGTGGATATAATTTTGGATATTCTTACACCTTGAAAATACAGCATCAACAGAACCACAAAGAACTAAATTAGCAGTTCTAAAAATTTCCATGCAAATTGGAAATTTGCCTAGAGGACTTGTCTTTTTTCATGCTTTATAAGAGCCAAGCATATATTCCAATTTTCTACCTTTTTGTCATCTACAATATCTTCACTGTTTGGTTCCGTCATCCACAGGGGAAGTTTATTTGGTGGAGAATCCATATTTCTGACAATTTATTCCTCTGCAAATGCAAATGTTCTGTAACAAGAGACATTTTATTACTTTTCCTGGAAGCAATAAAAATACCTTAATTGCTAAAAGATACCTGTAAGGTCTTGCCTCTCCAAATCTTTGCAAGAAAGCAGGACTCTTGAAACTGAAGTTGTTCGAAAAGGAGCTTTTATTAGCAGGAACTAAATCTTCCCACTTAAAAAACAGCAATTTAAAGCAGTGCAAACAGAACCCCTCCCACAGTACAGCAATGCAGGAAACAGAAACAGGAAGTTCATACAGCGATCTCTCCAATCCTCCCCCCTCCCATCAGAATGCCAGCGTCCCAAAAGAAATATATGGGACCTGACATGCCGCCCCCATAGAAAAAAGGGAAGTCCACCTGAAAGAAAACAAAGAGGGAAAGGGAGAGAAAGAAAACATAAAATCAGCAAGGTTTGTCAGGGTACAATTGATGAAATATACATATTCATTTAGGGTCGTGCAGATGTTTTTTGTGAACCAATTCATTGTGTGAGAAGGGGAGGTGTTTCCAAGCCACCAGGTACCGAGTGGCTCCGTGGAATTTCCTAGAGTCTAGAATTTCTTGAATTTCAAAATGTTCTTCGCCTTCTACCATAATAGGGGATAGAACAGAGGTAGTAGCTGAACGAAGGTCAGAGGTGACTTCAGGCTTCAGCAACTACAATGGAAAATGGGGTAGACTTGCTGTAATGACTTAAGGAGTTGCAATTCCACTGTGACAGGGTTAATAATACAAACGATGGGAAAAGGCCCAGCTTTTTAGACTGCTGCAAAGATTTTAGAAACTTGGTGGAAAGGTAAACTTTGTCCCCCACTTTGTAAGGTCTAGGTTCTATTTGTTTCTTCCCTGCTTCCCTGCTATAGGCAGCCTTGGTTTCATCCAAGGCTTTGCGGACCACTGGCCAAATGGCTTGGAAATGACTGATCCACTGTTTCAATGAGGGGATTTCTGGTTCATGTGAGGGTAACTCAGGCACAGAATTAAATTCTTACCCTGTGGCCACTCTGAATGAGGTAAAATGTATGATAGTGTGAACTGCATTATTGTAGGCCACTTCTGCAAAAGGCAATAGCTTGGTTCAGTTGTCCTGCTGATAAAACAACGCAGGTACTGTTCTAGAACTGAGTTTGTTCGTTCCATGGCCCCGTTTGTTTGCAGATGATGATTAGAACTAAGTCCCTGTTTGGTTCCGAGTAGGTCCAAAAAAGCTTTCCAGAACTTGGATGTGAATTGGACCCCTCTGTCCGAAATAATATATTGTGGGGCCCCATGCAAGCACTATATGTGGATCAAAAAAAGCTTAGCCAAGGCTTTGGCCATAGGGATCTTTTGGCATGGAACAAAGTGAACCTGCTTTGAGAAAAGGTCTGTGACAACCTGGATCACTGTGTTTCCAGAACTCTCAGGCAATTCTACAATGAAATCCATGGAGATCTCTCTCCATGGTGCTAAAGAGTCGGCCACCGGCTGCAGTAAATCGGGGGTTTTCCCCTTCCTGCGTTTAGCAGTAGCGCAAATGGGGTAGCTTGTTACACAGCTTTCTATGTCTTTTTTTAATGAGGGCCACCAGAATTGCCGTTTCAGTAAATGTAACGTTTTTACAAAACCAAAGTGACCAGCTAATTTGGAATTGTGACAAGCTTGCATAGCTTTCAGCTTTTCCCTAGCTGGGACATACAGCTTATTTCCCACCCAAGCTAACCCATCTTTTATTATGCAAGTATGTCTATGGGCACTAAACCACTCATCTGTTTCCAAGGCCTTTTTGAATTCTATGGTGGTGGCATTGCCTAAGGTGGAGGGGTTGTTCTTTGTCTGAGAGCATGTGACAACTTTAGCCGCTAATTGGGAGGCTGGGAGCATGGGCTTAATTACTTCTGCCTTAACACTGTTGTATTGCGGTAGTCTGGACAAAGCATCTGCCAAAAAGTTTTCTCCTCCTGGTAAATACTTCAAAGTGAAATTAAAGCGTTGGATGTACTGTGCCCATCAGACCTGTTTTGGGGACATTTTCCATAGGGTTTTGAGTGCTTCCAGGTTCTTGTGGTCGGTCCATACTTGGAAAGGTATTTTGCTTCCTTCTAAGAAATGTCTCCAAGTTAGGAGTGCCCACCTGACTGCAAAAGCCTCTTTTTCCCATATTGCCCATTTCTGTTCAGTTTCAGTTAATTTCCTAGAGGTGGATGCACATGGTTGTAATTTGCCTTCTTCATTCTCTTGGAGTAACACCACACCAACTGCCACATCGCTGGCATCAGCCTGAATTACAAATGGTTTTTCTGGGTCTGGGTGTTTTAACACAGGTTTGGCCGAAAAGTGTCTTTTCAGCTTCTCAAATGCCTCTTGGCAGTCCATAGTTCACTTCAGTGGTTGGCTAGGTTGCGGTTATGTACCCCCTTGGTTTTTAACAGATTTGTAATCGGCAGCACTATTTGGGCAAAAGAGGGGATAAACTGCCGATAAAAGTTAGCGAACCCCAGAAAATTCTGCAATTGCTTGCAAGTGCAGGAGGATTCCCACTTGAGGACTGCTTTGACTTTTGCAGGGTCCATTTCCACCCCCTGGTGAGAGATTCAGTATCCTAGGTAATCTATTTTACCAAATCTTCCCAAGAAAGCAGGACTCTTGAAACTAAAGTTGTTCCAAAAGGAGCTTTTATTGGCAGGAACTTAATCTTCCCACTTAAAAAACAAAATTGTTGCAAACAAAAAACCCTCCCACAGCACAGCAGGAAACAGAAACAGGAACTTCATATAGAGATCCCTCCAATCCTTCCCCCTCCCACCAGAATGCCCGCGTCCCAATAGAAATATATGGGATCTGACAATACCATTCATAATGATTTTTCTTATTATAAATTCATTCATGTTTTCTTATTGTAAATTCATCTTTGGCAGAAGGACACCTGATGGAGCATTGTCTTTCAATTCACTTTCAATGAGCAAGAACAAGAAAAATTGGAAAGGATAAGAAAGCAAAGAATGCAGCTATATACAGGTCAATCACCTATTGACCTGTCATCCAGAATGCTGTGTATGGTATAAATTGGTCTACTTTGAGGGGGAAAAAGGGTATTCTGGTTGTTATTATATTTTTATCCTGCCTTTTTTATATATAACTGAAGGCAGCCAATTTACCAAATATTCCTTCCACCTATTTTCCCCACAACAGCCGTGTGAGGTGGGTTGGGCTGAGAAACAGTGATTGACCCAAAGTCACTCAGCCAGCTTTCATGTCTAAGGCAGAGCTAGAACTCATTCTCCTGGTTTCCTGGCCAGTGTAGCTAAAGAAAAAGGGGGAAAATCTTTTCAGAAGAGCTTCTTCTGTTAGTTTTGGTTGAACACATACATTGAAAATGACAACCAAGTGCTACTTTAGAATATATATTGTGCTGCTGAAGTCAAAACAATATATCTGTCATCCATCACAATCATATCTGTCACTTAGAAAACAGATTTAGATTCCAGAGGCAGGCATATACCCAAACCATCACATTCAAAGGCAATTACAGATCAATATAAGAACTGCCTTTCAAGAAGATTTACTATCAAGGAAATATTTATAGAGGTGTGGCCTTATTGTGAGACGATTATATTTATATTATTATATAAATATAGAACTAAGTCCCAGAGGAAAAGCTGCATATGAATGCAACAGGAGTATTGATGGCTACGGATGCCAGATAATTTCACATGCAAATAGCTAACTATCCTAATAGTCGCGCTGGAAGTAAAAGAAACTCACCTCATCCCGAAATTCCCCCTAGGGAAATTTTTCCCGCCATAGGGAAAGAAGTTCTCTCTCGGTCTCTTTCCCGCCAAGCGCACGAGAAAATCGTCACCCATAACCAACACTTATTTGTCGCAGTGAAAATACGTCACGAGCCGCCACACTCCTCCTTCCCTCCCCTCCCCGCCTTTCTTTCCGGCCGCTGTCAACTGTAGAAGGTGAAATGAGGTGAGGTGCATGCGCACCAAAACTTCCGCGCCCGCCAGCCGCCGGCAACGCAAGACATTCTGGGGGATGTAGTTTATCGTTGTTGGAAGAAAGGTGGGGGCAGACGAGGCGCTTCAAAGTGGAGGGAGAAAGAGATCCCTGCTCTCAGCCCGCTCGGCACGCTGTTTTTGTTTTTTTTTCTCGTTTTCTTTGCGGCTGGGGCGGCTGACGTTGGCTGGCGCGCGCCGAAGATGAAGCAGCGCCTCGGAGGAGGGCGAAGAAGCGAGCGGCAATAGGACCCGCCCGTCATCGCGGAGCGCTCATCCCTCTCTCGGAGGCGGCCGCGCGGGGAAGGCGAGCGCTGCAGGGGCCAGGGCGGATAGCGGCCGCGGCTGGTTGAGAAGCAAGTCGGCGAGAGGCAGTTGAAGGGATGGAGTAAGTGTCGACCGCCCTGCGCTGTGGGGTTTTGTTCCCCTCCCCCCCCATTCCTCTGGCTAACCCGCTCCTCCCCCCCCCCTCCCCCCGCCCCGGCTCAATTGCGTGTCATGGCGCCTGGCGGGGCCGTCGGTGCAATTTGTACGGGCGCCCATAGGGTGTGCGGTGGGGGGGGGGAGAACGGGAGGACTCCCCTAGAATTAGGCTGTCCGTTTATATATATAACGGGGAAGGAGACGGTCTTGAAGGCGACAGGTCTTTTGACCCGATCGGGCTTTGTGGTGGCGCGAAGGCCCGTCCGGGAAGGTCGGGGCTGCCCTGTTTCTTAGAGACAGGTCTTGCCTCCCCCTCACCCCGCTCACACTTCCCCGCGGGGCCATAGGCAGCTTGGGCTCCAGCAGGAAAAGCCTGACGTTCAGCAGCTGACGGAGAAAAGGCTTCAGTCGCGGGATCGGAGCTTTATCAAGCGAATCCCCAAGCACAGGATTGATACCGTAACACAGGATACGTTTTAAAAAATAAAATATTACCCGGTGAAATAACTCTCCTTGTACTCTAGCTACGTTTTCGTGGCAGGAGAAGCTACCCCTGCCAACGGTTTAACGTTGCTGATGTAGGGATGTCGCTGATGTTTGTAGGAACAGGGTTAGTAAGGGTGGAAAAGGCTGGTTCTTTTTGTTTTTTTAAATGGATTCTGTGCCTTTAACCGATATCGGCCAGACATTCAGCAATTTAGCACATGATTTTCTACAATAACTCCTCCCCGTTCCACCTCCCGCCCCCCCACTTTCTATGTACCAGGTTAAAAAACAAAAGTGTTGGTGAAATAACTTTCTTGGGGAAATTAATTACCTGCAGGGAGGCTATTGCCA